GCTAACAAATTTTGCGTACGACGTACAACGTACGACGTACGACGTACGACGTACGACGTACGACGTACAGATTAACATAAACCATGCTCAAAACGGCCTGATTCGGGTTCGCTGACCTCAGAAACGTCCAGAAAACATGTTTCTGAAGTTTTCAAAATTTTGACCGATTACAATACTTTTCACCTTACACTATGTGTGCGGAAAAGTAAAATAGATGAACACAATGAAAATGGATAAGACACTTCCTTTGGGATGCCATGGGCAACATGTGCCTTTTTTCTATTTTCAATGAAATACTAAATCACATTCACAAGTACTTCTTCATTGCGATTTTATGTAGAAACTTATGTCGAGATAATTATATGGGTGTAGCAAAAAAAAATAATGATTTGTCCCACGCATTTTACGGGAAAACTGCTCTTTTTAACCGAACAGAAAGTAATAAACGAGATATTTTAAGTTGATATTGTATGCCATTTTCGTGCATCAATTTTTGTGCATCGATGAAAAAGATTCATGCTATGCGATGATGCAAAACTATCTGCATTACAATGGCATCAGGGGAACTCTTGTGCTGTAAACAGTATTTCATCTTACATTTTCTATTGCTTTATATTGCTCGTCACATTTAAAGTGGTTGTTATTTCAATTATTGAATTGAGAATGAGATTGTAAGCGTATTTAGTTGCCCCTTAAGCGTTGCACTTAAAAAATTAGCTTAAGCTCAGCAATCCCGACGAAACGTTAAGTTTTGCTTTTATCCGTGCGGTAGAAGCCAACCATAAAGAGCAACTCAACAGGTTGCCTATAACATTATGTCTCACGACGCGCAAAATAAAATCCATTTCAATTTATCAGTGAACGCAAACACTTTCACAGTCAATGTTCATGTGTATAGTTTGGTTGCTGATATTTTACCAACTACTTTCGATGTCAACGACGTGGTTTTGATCAATACAACCACGGGTTCGGTTTCGTTGTTATTGTCATCAATATAATTTATTACCGAAATAGGTTATTTACATCAGAAACGAAAAACGTTTCATTTCAAAAGGCGCTTTGATTGTAAATGTATGAAAAATCGTTCATTTTCTACCACAAAATATAGCCGGATTTTCGTTTTCGTTTATCAATATGTAAACAAATTGTGAATTTATATATTAAATGTATAGCTTGTGTATAGACGGCAGTTGCGAATAATATTACAATTTTATCAGCAATTAAATGTTGTTGTAATTTATCTGATTTTATTACCGCTTGCGTTACAATTTATGTAAGTAATACATTGTACGTTTTGTTAACGAGTCGGAAACCCAAAATACTTCCACAAACCAATTATATTAAATTATACATTGCTAGAACATTTCAATATTTTCTCTTCTACTGCAGCTGCACTTTATTACTGTGCTATTTTCAATTCAATTGGTTAAACTTGAGATAAACAATTGACGTGTTACATTAAATACTTTCGCATTCATGAATGAATCACTCTGAATTTCAATCAATATTTCGAACGATTCAAATTGACGCATAAGTTTCAAATCTATATTGTTTTTGGGATTTTTAATATTTAATCAAACACAACCGATCTGATTTATTCTTATAGCATCCTAGTCGGTTTCTTGCGTTCATGCATCGGAAATATGGGGTTTCCTTATAATTTTAAATATAGACTCTGAAATTAGTTCAAAGAAACTCGTGAATGAAAACGTGTTGAACTCTTGTAATGACTCTATAAATTCTCTTGAGTTTGAATAGATACTTGCAAAATGTGTATATAATTGAATAACTGTAAAAATTAACTTTGAGTGAAAATCCAATTTTATTTGAAATAAAAAAAAACCGTTGACATTGAATGATAAAAATGCAAACAAGTGTTATGATTAAAGTATTCTTGAAATAAAAAAAAGTTTATTTAATGTTTGGTTTCTTTATTATTCTTGTGTTTGTCGTTACAGTTGGAATAGACGAAAAGAAGACTTGAAAATCTCTCCGTCGATTGGCGAAGACGTTCAAAAGTTATTTGAATTTATTGCAAAAAAGCGAGAAGCCCCAGATTTAATAGTGCAATTGCAAATTGCTGACAAAATGACAATGTGAATTGGTTGAATTAATGAACAAAAAAACGAGTACAGTTAAAGTTTAATCAAAGATAAATAAAGTGAACAAAAGCTTCAACAATCTCTTCCTCTGCCATCGAAGCTAACAAGAAATCAAATAACCAAGTGAAAGAAATTCTCTTGATTGAAAGGACAAAAAGTGTACAAGTGAAAAGAAAATGAGATCCGAATTGACCGAAGAACCATCGACCCATTCAGCAAATCGTCATCAGAATCAATTTGTCGAAGACATTGGCCAATCGGTGGCCAATGCACTGTTCGGTTACACCAATGCCATGGATAAACAAACAACGCCCAACGAAGAAGAGACCGGATCCGTAAGACCGAAACGCAGCGCCAAAAAAGTGCAACAGGTTCCTTTATTTTCCAAACAATTTTCGATGCGCACAAAATCCAAAAAAAAAATCAAAACTTTTTTCTTTGCATTTTTTAATGACATTTTTGCAGCAAGTTCAATTGTTCGATCCAGAGATGACCGATTCGAGTTCACAGAGTGACGACACAAGCGGTTGTGGTGGCAGTGGTCCAACAACGACACGGACATCACGCGGTCGAAGTGCAACCAATTCACGACGTCGAAAAGGCCAATTGAATGCAAAAGAGCGTAATGCACGTCGTTTGGAATCCAACGAACGCGAGCGTATGCGAATGCACTCTCTCAATGATGCTTTTCAGGTAATATTGCAATTAAAATCGATGATCAAACAACTTTCAAAACTTATCAACAGATTAATAAAAATTATTATTATCGGCTTTTTTGCAACTTTGTCGCGCGTTTTTTTTTTCTTTCTCTCTTGCAAACTTTTTAAATTTACGAATATTTTAACGGCGACTAAGTTTTCTACGTTTGATTTTATTAACTTGGATTTTTTTCACTCTCACTTTTCAATCGTTCTCGTTTCAATTTTATGATTTTAGTCATTGCGCGAGGTAATTCCGCATGTGAAAAAAGAACGTCGTCTATCAAAAATCGAGACGCTAACACTGGCTAAAAACTATATCGAAGCTCTAACTAATATAATTGTATTGATGCGAGGAGAGGATGGAATCAATGGTAATGGTCTCACTTCAACTTCAATTAGTTGTGATTTTATTGAAACAAATACAGCCAACGATATCGACGTCATTGATACACTGAAAAATGATTGTTTCGATGAAAATTTTCCGGATTTAATGTAATAAGTTTAGTTTAAAAACTAAAAAGTGCATCAATTGGTTCGTCTCATCCAAAATGAAATCGAATGAAAAGCAAACAACTTAAATGTAATCAAGGTAATAATTACTCAATGTTGATTTTCTTTTGTCTTTTTTTTTGCCGATTCAAAATGATTCAAGTCAAGTTGTTGAAAGTTGTAATAAATGGTCGACATTAATGGAGGCGAATGTTTTCTTTTCGTACTTTTATAAATAACACAAAATAAAAAATATTGTTTGCAGTTGATTGTTTGAAAGAAGATGAAAAATTTCTTATCAAAATTGAAGAAATTTTGTTATGAGTTATAGCTTTTTTCAATTGTTCTTGAGCAGACGATGATATAAGTACAATGCATTTAATTGAAAAGATGCTCCATGTTCAAAACACGAACAAACATTTGTGCAATTACATAATTTCAATTAGTTTTCGTTTCGATTCATTTTTCTATACACATACACAATTGATGTTGTACGTTATAATTCTTTTCATTTGAAATAAAAAATCGAATATCCAAAGGACACACACACAACACAGTGTCACATACACAGAGATGAGTGGATACACGTCAGCATTGTTATTGTATTTTTTGCGACAATCTTTCCATACACTCACACAAACATACAAATATGTATATCAATTTATTACATAGATACAATAAAAACAGCTTCACATCACTCTGTCAATCAAACACATAACAATTGAAAGAATCAAAAATTGACGAAAATCTAAACGGCGTCACACAGATATACAGGTCTGCCATATACAATTGAATATATTTTATTCATATTAATTCAACTGTATTGTAATATAATATTATAAATATAAACTAAAATATGATAAATTAGATACGTAAATAATATTTCTAGCTAACTGTATGATGTATTTGTGTAACAGGATGCGAGGGTGATGCTCACGCAGATGAGGGGAGTCAGAAATGACGAGATATATTTGTACATTTATTATTTCAATGATGAGTAAAAGTCAAACTAGTCACTATGGATTTAAGGAAGAAAAAAAACTGTGAAAAATTTCAACGATGATTTTTAAGCGTTGAAAAAACAAAAACAAAATTATATTAGATAAAAAAAGAAGTGTTTATTAACCGGGATTTTAAAGATATATGGCTGTAATTTGAGTAAGCAAGAAAAGATTTAATCAGTGAATTAGTATTCGAATTCGACCCTAAATCAAATTGGAGCGAAACGAAGAAAAAAAAACACGTAAAAAAGGGAACTTTTCTTTTCCACTAAATCCACTTCATTAATATATGTGCAAAAAAAGAGCCTGCAGTTTTCTATTCTCACACAGTACAAAATATCGTAACACAAAAAATATAAAATACACCCCGCAGCATTTAATGGCATGGATTTATGTCCCTTATTCGCTGCCTCAGTGAAAAATTCCATTATAGTTTGTAATGTTGTTGCTCAATTAGATTGTGTATTAAATGTGTGTTTATTTTTTTCTTCTTCTTCTTCTTCTTTGGTTTGTTGGACTTGGTGTGCTTCGTTGCGTTCTATCTCTATTTCGATCGGCATTTCCCAGTAGGCTGACAGCAATATCAATCTGTTCGAAAATATAACCGATTTTTTTTCTGTTATTATATATGTTATATTTAATTCCATCTATAATAAAAATTAATAAATGTTGTGTAACCGCCACAAGGGGAAGAATATTTGTTCTCAAAACCATAATGCTGTGAAAAAAAATCCGAGTGAATATTTCATATGATGCCAAGATGAATGGGGTATTTCTGGAAATGCGTAGGAATTTATTATGTGTTAATCGAAATGACATCGACAATCGTTTGGGGAGGCGCAAAAGCGATTCACGGCAAACACCGTAAATACTTTCTCTAAAATGAAAGACACACCAACCAAATATGTGCGATGGTTCAGGTTATTATTATTTCTCTGTAATGAAATTCATGAAAAGCATTTAGTTATGCAATAACTTGATGCCTGACGGTTTGTTCCCTAGGCTTTATCATATGTTTTTTTTTTTTCTATTTTTGTTGTCTCTTTTTCCTCTCTATATTTGGTACCATTCATTATAGTGTGTCAATGTCAGTGCTGGTGGTTTTTCGCCGTTAGAATTTTATACCTGTTTGCACGTGGATGTGTGTCGGTGCTTGTCGACCAAGTGCGCAATGTATAAGAGTGAAAAGAGCATCTATCATCAACAATCAAATGATGTTACATCGACCATTGTTTAAGCAAAACAATCTGCTAAACATAAGATCGATATTATGGCATATAAACATTTAACAAACCATTCAACAGGCTTTTTATGTGTGAATAACAACAGGCGATATTCCATCATATGCATTACAATAGACCAAAAATATATACTTGATTTTTGCGAATTAAGAAACATTCATTGGTGACGGTAACAGCAACGGTGACGGTGTGGTGTAGTTGAAAGTGCAAATGCGGGTCGTGCGCGTATCAAACATATTATCTTAATGTGTGCCAAGACCATACTCTTAATACGAAACGGAAGTGAATTGTAAATAAAGCAAATGATTTTTAAAACGTAATAGATAAACTTTGGTGAATTGAATGTATTCGACTCGGTGAATGTATATATTTTATCTACTTGGTCTCATCTAAATGATCAAATCACAGATCAAAAGAACACTTTGCGATGTTACGTCACTAACAAAATAACAATACATCAGCGATAACAGGATGTAGATAAAAGACTATTTCGTTGAAACGGCAATGTGATGCATAAAACAATGGATGTAATGTTTGAATCAACCATCATAATTGTCTGTGAATGAGCGACAAAAAATACGTTTAAATATGCGCCACCTACTAGACTACCTACTTTGTCACTTGTACATTCAAATATCTTTGCGTTTCGGTGCAATGCCAATGTGATTAGATGGCGCTATGTAAATTGAAGTCCAATTATTGTCTATGTCTCTCGATCGTGAAGTTTGGTGAAAGCGAAACGAGTTAATCATTTGAATTACGCCCACTGTCTTATCAAAATGTAGATATATTTTAAATAATAGATTCAAAATCGCATTTCTGCATCTGACATCTCATCACAATGGATATTCTGGCAAATATCCTTCTGAGAACACACGCATACAATCTATTTTCGTTGATTTTTGTCTCATCAAAAGAAAAGATAATGGCATTTAATCCATAGCTGGATTCTTGTTTCTGGAATGCATTAACCAAACGACAAAATGAATAGCAGAGCAAAACAAAAATGCATTGTGCCACTACGAAATAATGGAGTGTTATGACACACGGATGTGAAACGGTTCGCAATATTAGATACATTCACTGTGTATCCAACGCTGTTTGTCTGCCATCGATTCAATTTTCCTGAAGACGAACTAATTTTCTGTTGAAAGAATAACAAAAATAAATAGAAGTAAACAAGAGTCACTTTTTTTCGCTCCCATCCTCCCCCTTTTTCAGCATTCATATGCACAGCATTTCGTGTGGGAGAGAAAGAGTGAGAGATGTGGACGGTCGCAAAAATAATAATGAAATTTCCATTGAAACTAAGCGAACTAATAGCGTAGATAGAACTAACGTCTAGGAATATGTTCAATATTCATGTTGAGCAAAAGACTCCATTTATTCATATGATATTGTTCCAAGTCATTGTATGAACATTGTGCGATGAACAGACATAGACGATGTAAAAAGGGAAAAAAGCCGTAGAGTGTAGAAAAAATAGTTAGCTGCTCTGGCATTGCCAGCTTAATGTTAGGGATGAATGTGTGTTTATATGTACGATTTTTTTCATGCATTTTGTCGTACTATGAATTACAAACGTAATTACATCTCAAGCAAAGTAACAGAGTTCGGCTCTTATGAACTTATTTTGCGGTCTCTTTTTTTCTCCGTTTTTTTGTTGTTGTATGCGAATACAGTTTATCACAAGTGGCAACGGAAAGCTTTGAATTTGTCTAAATAGTCCTGCTTATGAAGTTACCAAAAAGAACCAATGAATGGATTTTCTTTCAACTAAATGATATATAACAAATACTTTACACATTTATGAATGAGGATAGAGCCTACAATAGAGCGATAACCGCGTCGTTTCAGAGAAAATAATGGATTATTTGATTTCAAACGAAAAATAAATGCGACGGAGTTAAACTATATTGAGAGTGTTGAGCTGCCGGGAAATAAAATAAAACAATTGCCATTTCACAGGTTAATGTTGGCTATTCACTTTTAAACGTTCAATTAGCAAAAAAGATATGTAGTTACACCGTTGTAGAGAGACAGAGAGAAAAAAAATCAATTTCTTCCAGCTTGTTATCTGATTTGCCAACGCAATCGACGGTTTAATTAAAACTTACAGTTGGCATTCATTCAATTAGCGACAAATTTATTAATTATTCTTTGAGTGTGTTGAAATTCTCGAGTTTTGTATCGTGATAGTAGCGAGTGTGTGAATGTGCATTGTGCAAGGTTGGTTTGCGCTTTGCCATGCTGCAAAAAGTGAGAGATGGTATGAGCACACACATTTGAAAAAAAAAAGAAGAATCTGGACGATTTGCTATGTTTTGTTCTGGTTGTATGTATAAAATGAGTTTTCGGAATAAAGGTGAACAGGAAATAGTTTTGCGAAATGCATACAAAGGATAAACACCAAAATTGCGTCGAATTATGCCAATCGAGTTTTTATTAAGTGTTGTATGCACACAATTTTACGTTTTATTCCCAATGCAAACACATACAAACACATTCTAGTTTAAAGTTCATTGTTTTGTTCTGTTAATTTTGAGCCGCACTTCAAACTTTGAGCTCTGTATTGTTGCATAAATGCTATGTTCATAATTATTATCAATAAAACCGTTAAGTTTAAAAACACTAGATTTTATTAAGAGAAAAGAGCTGCTGGTATACTAAACGTGATAACACTAATTTAAATGGAACTATGAGTTTTTAATAAAACTGATGATTATATTTACGATTGACGACGACGTGGATAAAAGTCTACAATTTAATTGATCTGTGTGCTAGCGCTTCAATATTTAATGTGGTTTAATCTAATAAGTTTGAGCCGAAAAAAAAAACTTCGGAAAATTTATGATTTTTATTATGCAAAGAAATTTCAACTATTTCACAGACACTTTATTTCATATTTTGCCCTTTGAACATTTAATTTGTAGACATAATTTGTATACGTTCTAACTTTAGTTACGATGCATCCTTACAATTTTCTCTGGCATTAGTTTTATTAGTCTAGCTCAATTTAAGCTCTTTTATTGTTTTTTTTTTTTTTCTTCATACAAGCATTTTATTGGTTTCTGCCACAGCATCTAATTCATTAATTTTAACAATTTAGTACCAAGAAACAAGTAAATATCAAAATATATCTCAAGTGTTGACTCTACACACAAAACACACGATAGTGTGGATATGGGTATGAAAAAAAAATAAATTACAAATAATCAGCTCAATTTTGAGTCGTCGCTCGTCGGCATACCTTGACTCGATAAAATCGGTTTGATGAAAATATGTCCAGAGTTGCTCAAATTGAACGTATTAATTGTATCAAATCCGATTGTATTTCGTGGTAAACTTGGTTATTTATATACAACATCAAATTGTGTTAGAAAATGGAAGTAATATTTGTGATTTTATCGTTTGTTGGTTGAATTTTTTTATGGGGATGACCCACTTAAACGGAATTATTATATTATTTATTGGAAATGAAATGAACGCCACATAAATCCAATTTTTCTTTTTCTTTTTTCAAATCAAATTCCTTTTTTACGAATGTGAAACATCTTTCTATACTTAAATTTTTTTTTCTATTTTTCCTCTCTTGGAATTTCTTGAATTTGCATTTTCTACATCTCAAAATTGTATAACTTACACTTTCGATTTGAATTCGTTTGAATCAACTGTATCACAATTAGGATTGAAAATTCTTTAAAAAAAGTCAACGAAAGTTACGAAACGGTGATTGATGATGAAATGTTAGTCGGAGCTCATTAAAACTTTTAAAAATAGATTGTAAGAGATTGATTATTGTCATCCAATGAAGAAAAAAAAATATTAAAATGAGTTATTGTAATTCGTTTACAAATTCAAAACGAAGAAGACAAAGAAAAAAACGACAAGCAAACTAAATAAGTAAATGTACCTTTCAATGTATCTTTAACTAATATAGAATACGAATGCTGAAATGAACACGGAATGATGTGAAGAGAGATTTATTGTAGAGAAAATATGTGCAATGTTTTGTGAAAAAAATGGGTGACAAATTATTCAAAAATATAAATTACAATTGATAAAATACAAATAATTTTTGAATGCTTCAATTATACTAAAAACATAATTTATCGCTGAATGAAATTATACAAATGGAAAAAAATGGCTTAATATTAATTGATACATTTATGATGAATATACCAAATTTAAACATAATTATAAATAAAGTACTATAAAAATTTAGTTAAGATTAATGCAAATATGAAATTTCCTGTGTATTCTTTATTCTTCAATGTTTTTCCATGTGACAATTTTGTTACGCGACATTCAATGGTAGGTTTATGCTTAATTCTCTTTTAAATATTTGTTTGGTGTAAAATCAGCTGTTGAATTGGGCTCCAATATACACACAGATCCTTATCATTTCATCCCACCACAAACAAATTCGAATGATGGTTCAAGTCGTGGCTAAAAGCTTAAAAAAGTTTTCACTGAACTGGCGAACATTTTTACTACCCCTGAACGAAAGCTTCAAAAGCTCGAGCGCAAGCTTGTGTAGGGGAAATTTCGATACTAGATTTCGTCAGAAAAAAAAGAAGTGTACAATATTAGAATGTTTTGAAAATGAAGTTCGTTACTTTGTTACTGTTCATAGAGCCATTCGAATGTGACAATAATTTAATATTAGAGAGTCTTATAAGCTCAGTCTTTGACAAGATAAAAACTGAAATGGTTCTTTGGTTTTTATTTGATTCCATTTTAATTTGTATTAACTTGAAAATAATTTCGCTTTGCTCGTATGCAATTGGTGATATTAACTATTCAGCTTCGCTGTAATCGATACGTGTACGTTTCTGCGTCCAATTATTGAATAAAACTTCAATTGAATCTACTTTTCATACAATGTCATTAATTCAATACAAAAACTATGCGATGACGATCAAATGTGACTTTGTACCAGACACAAATGAGTAAATGAGTGAAAAAAACCACATACACGGTTGAAATCGAGTTAACATAGTAAAGTAAAAATGAAAATATCGATTGTTCCATCAACCATGTCATTGAGTGATTCGACTTTTTTTACTCTGCTTGTCTAGCTTTTTGCACGAACGTCTGTATAGAATGCAACTATGTTATTTTATGCATGTTCAATTTCGTAACTGCCAACGATGCTATTTTCAAAAAATTCGATCAATTCGTTCGAATACTCCTATAAATTAACAAATCGAAAAAAAACTCACGAGTATACACACATTGTCAGAATATACACACACAAAAATTAATCGATACGATTGTTATGCGTTGCAATTGAGATGAATGACGGCCGAAAAAACACCGCAACTCGTTTTTTACATCTAATCAAAGTCAAAATTGGTTGTTTTACATCTATGGGAATATCTACGTGAACGTCGAATTATGTGTTTGACTGACTGAAGCCATTGAATTGAAAAGCGATTTGGTATGTCAATGCTACCATATATGAGAGATAATTCTAATAATTGATATGTGTTTTATGTTTTACGGATAGTCCATTCTTCTCATTCTTCTAGTTCTAATCCCAGCTCTTTCTCAAATTTGGCCATTATTTATGCGTTTACGGACTTGTTTTTCATCGCACAACATCTTTTTTCCTTTTAGTCGGTATTTCATGGTTGGTTACTCGTATTTATATAAATATTTTCAGCTACAGATCAATTTACGCTGGCAATTATGGAGGTTCCATAAAAACTGTAAACATTCCATAACTATGTATTAACTATTATTTTTGATTTTCAATAATATCCTTTTCAACTATTGTCAGGTGCTGAAATGAAGTGAAAACAATAGAAGTGTTTTTATAACTGTAACAATCATTTCAATTGTTTTCACTCCATTTCAGCACCTGACGATAGCTACCTGGGCTGTTTGAGTACGTCAATTAAATGTTGTCAAAAATAATGGCCATTCTGTATTATACATGGAAATTCCAACTTTCTCACACCAATTCTATCTCCGTCAATGTTTCATCCAATTGCCACAGCTGAAAACAGAAGGTGAATGAGAAAAATATCAATTCTAAGGTATTTTTGCAGGCTGATTTCGAATTTCGGGGATTCAAGTAAAAAAATCACACCTTGAGGGTATTTGACCCCCAACCCCCCAAGGGGTGGGGGACTTGGAGGGCAGGGGTCCCAAAAAATTTCTCTCGTCTTTTTGAACAACTTTGTAGTACATTATTTTTTGATCCGATGAACTTTTGAAAATTTTGATCATATAGAAATTTTCTATTTTTTACACCCAACATACCCCCCAAAAGGTTTTTCAAAATTCCCACCCCCTGGAAAACCCGATTATATGCGCCACCCTGTATAGTTAATAGATTTTAATTGAATAAAATTAGAAACGCAATTATTGTATTATATTCCGAGAATCAATTGATAGAACTGCGTCATCCATAGTTTTTGCAATGTATTCAACTCGTCTCTCCAAAACAAAATAGCAATTCACTTCAGGAATTTGTAATATGCCATTCGATTTCACAAGGAAAAAAAGCATTACACAACATTGTAGTAAATTGTGGCATTAAACTGACAACATTGCAACTGAAGCAAAATTATTTCACACATAATGTATTCAGGCTCATTAATAATTTCGTTTATTTTATGAGATGAAAATGATTTTAATTGTCCATGACGGATAAATATCTGGATTAATCTGAATATGCAGTGCATTTATTTTTATTGAGCCGCTGATACGGCTGTAATGGCCAACACAGTAAAATCTATGAAGCAAAAGTGTAAACATTGTTTTACGAACACCGAATATATTGCTAGACTTTATGCATATACTCACAAATATAATAACAGGCTGCAATTATCTCAAATTTTTTTGAATGAAACTCCACTCGTTTTATATTTCGATTCTGTTTCATTACTTTTGAGCCAAGCCGTAATATTTCATACATATTTCCACTCATAGACACACTGGCATCTAAACAAAAAATTACTTTGTTTTGGCCTGCATGGTAACGTTTATTTCACTTGAATGAAATTGTAAATATTCAATTCCATGTGTATTTAAATAGAAAAATCAACAAACATACAGAAAAATCATCGGCATTTATTTGATACACATTGAATTTAGATTTCAATCTCACTTACGAAATCAAAGGTTTTTGATTGCAATGCAAAATCGCTTTGAGGTAATTTACACACAGTGATTGGTCAGTTTTAATCAAATATTTGATTGAATATTTTCGATATACCAATTGAAATTGGGTTGAAATAACTGTACACAGGTGATGCAATCTCAAATGTGTTCAAGTCAATTCAATCGTATTTAGAATTCTATATAAAAGCACGAATTTGCCATTCTCTGAATTGTTCATTTTATGATGTTCGTAAGTTACTTTAAAATGTGGAAAATCATGCTTTGTATCTGTTCCATTGCTACAGTGGTGAGAATTTTTGTTACATTCAAATAATTTACGTAAAGTAATTGGTTTTTATTTAAATTGGATAAACTTTCGTTTTAATTTTAGACATCTCAAAAAATATTCCAAATTGCAACGCCAAATGTAAAAACTGGTGTATCGCTTCACTGGGATGATTGTACGCAAAGTGTGTATTTTGTGGATTTTCAAGCAATTGGGCGAAATCGATCAATTTATCGTTATGATTTAAATGATGCTACTCTATATTCAGCGTATATTGATGGCGAATCGTTGCCCATATACATTTTCCCAATTAAAGAATGTGAACAATATAAAGAATGGTTTGTTGTTGGTTTGGCCAATGCAACAAAAATAATTCAATGGAATAAACATTCAGCCGTTGCCACGGTTGCTAGTACATTATTTACCCTAAAGTTGAATGATCCCAGTATGCGTTCAGTCGTTGGTCGTGTGGATTCACAAGGACGCTTGTATGCGGGCACATTTTCGTATCTTTTTTGCGGTGGTTCGGCAAATGCATCGTTTTATATGTATAGAAAAGGTGAAGATGTTCAGCGTGTATTTGGAAATGTTGTGACTACAACGGGTATTGCATTCAATATGCCCGCAAGAAAACTGTATCATTTGGACTCATGCCGTCTTCAAATTGTTGAATTTGATGAAGATAAAGTGACTGGCGATATTTGTAAGTATAAAAGTCTTCAATATGTGAATGTAGAAATTATTTAAATGTTTGTTACAGGCAATGGTCGAGTGGTATTCGATTTCAAGCAACATTTGCCATACTTTGTCCCGCTTGGTTTGGAAGCAGATTCAAAGGGAATGTTATACGTTGCAAACTATTCACAAGGTTCGATTGCGAAAATTGATCCAAGGTATGAAGTTAGTGAAAGCGCAAATTAAACATTCTACAGTGGAATATTTATTTGAAAATATTTTCAGAACAAATACTGTAATTGATTTTATCGATGTACATGCAAAGGCATTGGCCTCAATTGTTTTCGGTGGGCCACATCGTGATATTTTATTTGCTTTGGCTGGATCATCTGTGCTCGATGTACACACAGGACAAATTGCTGGAGAAGCGATTGAAAATGGCTATCTCTATGTGATACGTGATCTAAATGCAAGAGGTCATCGATATTCGAGACTCATCATTTAAATTATGTGATGTGCATACATTTGAACAGTTTATCTACTCATTATTTCGTTATAATTAAGTTTAACTCTAAACTCATTTCATTTGACTGACGGAAAAAGGAATACCGAGATAGTTTGACCATAAATCAATGAAAAACACAATCTACATAGTCCATAGATTACAGACATTTTATTAAGTAATACTCGAATACATGTTATTATCAACGCGGCAGTGAATCACATCGTGCGATTTAATCTTATCGCACTCGCTGACTGCTGAAAATAGCCTTCATGTCATTCGGGAAATTTGCATATAAGAACGCTTCGCTTGTTTTTTTCTATTCAAAATCAGCTTATACAAGATTAACAAATTATATTCGTCGCAATCTTTCATTTCTAGGACTAAACCTGGCGAAACATGGAAAAGAGATACAGTTTATAATCTGAATGTATGTCGGTTTCTCCTGCATATAAATATCAGCTTTCGTCATGAAGTAGTGTTGTATTCAAATTGAAGCTTATAGCCAGACTATGAAGATAAAATCGTAGAATAGATCTGATATAATATGATACATGTTATTTTGTTTAAAACGTAAGCTGCAAAGAATTTCAAATATTATTTCACCGCCAACACCGCAATTAAATTTCATGAAATGCATGCACCATTTATTATATTGTAATAATCCAATTACACATTCAAAATATTTGTAATTTATGTTATCATAATCCCAATGTCCAAAATTGAGTTTTGCATATTAAATCAACACCACTAAATATTATTTGATATTATAAATAATAATGATGCCAACAATATGGTTCATTTAAACAAGTGGCATCAACAGCACCTGTTTTTTATTTGATTATATAAAATACGACATCTACTTTTTCGACACTTAATTCAATAAAATAGCGTATCATTCTCTTTTTTGTCGGGCAAAACGTTGTATAACGTTGTCAACAATCAATATGTCTGTTACTATGAACTATTTTTGTTCAATTTCGAAATTCGATTTTTTGTGATCGTTAAGAAACTTAACTCATTTCTCGTTAAATTAGAATACGTTGCGTTGAAAGTAACGCGTACATTTCGATTTTGTGACTTTTATTTAAAAAAAAACTACCGATACAAAATATAGAATATAGTGAATCTAGACGTAAATTTTATTATTTAACTGTTTACGTAACGCATTCGATTTATCTGATAACTAGAATTATTCATTAGTGAAAATGTTATCTGGCGGTAAGTCCTGCTTTTTATGTCAGCATATCGGTGTCAATGAGGTTTGTATGATTCTCTATTCATATTTACAGGGTGGCCCAGAATAACTGTCACTTTTATATATGCTTAAAAAACGTATTTTTTTTACTAAAATTGAACAAAAACTTTATTGGGATTTAGAATAGGGTCCAAAACTTTAGATTCATGTTTTGGTTTTGATTCTTCCTCCATTTGCACGGACCACCAAACGCAAACGTCCATTTCGATGGGAATATCATTCCAAAATTTGTGTGGAATCCGGACATCTGAAGTTCGGACGTCAGGACTTTTTTTGGACGGACGGACAGCCTTTTTCGGACATTTTTTATGGACGTCCGTGTCCGTTGCCACCTTTATTCCAAATCTTGACGATTTTCTTTTTAAATGCATCCAATTTTGTGATTTTCTTAATCTTCAGATCATTAAGCTTTTATTGCATGTAGCCGCACACAAAATAATCCAATGGATTCAAGTCTGGAGAAGATGGCAGCCACTCATCTTTGTTAAAAAAATCAGGCACATTTTCTCTTAACCACTATTGCACTTTGTTTGCTCGATGTGCCGGTGCCCCATCTTGTTGAAACACCCACGGTTCATCACCAAACACAGAGTCAGCATGTGGCAACAAGATTTTGCGCAATATTTCTCCTTGACTAAATCATCTTCAGGAATGTCCTGCAAAAGGAACAACTTTTCGTCTGAAAACACAATGTTTGAAGTTGCTTTCTATCTTGCTTATTTTTGATTGTCAAACCGTGTTTTTGGGTTATTTTAAATGGTTTCACTCCCAAATCTTCTTTCAACACTCGTCGCATTGAAGATCGAATGATATTGTGCTCACGAGCCAAGATTCTGGCGCTTCTTTTGTTATTTCGACGAATTTTCTTTCGTACCTTTTGGACCAGATCTATTGTACGTACAGATTTTTTTCTACCCGGTTTTCGCTTCACATCGACTGTTCCACGTTCCTTGTATCGTTTTATGGTGCGATGAATAAATGAATAAATCTCAAATTGATATTGTCGTTCTGAAGCCGCCGAAAAATATCAACTTGTCGCAAACCTTTATTATGTAAATTCAAAACTAGTTGACGTTTCACATCCATTGCTATTGTAAAGTAAACAAGAACTGCGCAATACTGTGCATCGTCACGGTGGATTGCCAAAACATGAATAAACATAACGGTGAACCAAAGGGTTTGTTTGGCATTGTAGTTGAAATTACGTAGGTGCAAAATGTGACAAAAATGACAGTTATTCTGGGCCACCCTGTATATTTATTTTAATTATCCAATTTTTTGTTTGTTTACATCAAATATATATACTGCTAGACATACTGTTCATAAATCAAAAGGAGATCAAAGAGAAACAAGATCTCAACAAATAACAGATTTGTTTCGATATTTATGAATTATTTAGTACAATTACGACCAGTTCTTGCTGTGAGTTGTTCATGTTTACAATAAAATAAAATAGTAAAATGCTAGCACGACACAATTCAAATGATTGAATCGGTTTGACAAGTACAATTTGTACTGTACAAAGTAAAATCAACAAACTTCACTTCGATACTTTTTTTTTGTAAAAGAAAACTAAGAAGCAAACACTTTTTTTCATATGAAAAAATTCGTTAAAGGATATTTAGCTTAAAAAACATTTGGACATAAATAGATAGGTGTAAGACACTTTATACATAATTATGTCCTTTTACACTTTATACGTAATCCTTATGTCTAAAGTAAACAAAGTCAAATAATCATCATTGTTAATAGTTATCTATTACCGGTGTAAGCGATTCGTTTGTTGTATGTTATACTAGTTCAAAGTGTTCGAAAGAAGTTTGTACAAGGTTCTTTAATTGTTGTTGAACTCCTGTCATAAATTTAAGTTTATTTAAAAATAATCTACATATTTTAAAAGCTCCAAATGATAAATTATTGAAAAATCCAATAATAGGGTATTCCTGGCATTTATTAATAACATTTAAAATGAGTCAGAAAACAACAAGTCCTTTGAAGCCATTCGAAGTTTTCCAGTTTTGAACTATTTCATGTCATCGATTTTATTTTAGACGCTCAATAAGCTTTTAAAGTAATATCTAAATTAAGAAATTTTGTAAATTTCAGACAAACTCAAAGAATTATTATTAGGAAAGTCAATTCATTAGTGTAAAAGGTACCAATAACAAAACACGCAATCCAAACTCAGTTTAATATATTACAAAACTAACAATTATATATATCAACTCAGGTCTTGTTCCAAAGCAATAATAAATCCCATTAATGTTTCGTAGTATATATAATACATATTCGTATTTTTGGATTGCTTCGATTAAAATTATGATAATAGGATGGACAATTTCAAATGGTTTTTATGACTTCTAACATCAGAAATTAATTTAATTGCCTAATAAACAGTCCACATTGATTTAAGTTTTTTTTTTACTTTTCGCATGAACAAAACGAATTGTTCTGTATAACAGAATTCAACAATTTTGAATTTCATTATGGTCTCGTCCAATTAAATAACATTGTATCACTTTTTTTGATTGAAACAATGAAATTTACGTTTTTCATGACCACCATAAAAATGATGTTTTTGTAGAAAATTGCGTTCACAAATTACGTGACTTTTCAAACAAAATAATATAAAATTTGTGTTGTTTTTAGTGAAAAATGCCAAAGTTTAAAATATTGCGACCAGACGAAAGCAACTAAAAACATTCCTTCATCTGGGCAAGTCAATGGCAGCCGACCAGTCTAATAAATCTTCAATTCATCGAGAACGCCTAATAGTAATCGCCGTTACAACAACAGCTGATTTTCCATAAATACGATGGAATGGTAAAAGTTTTTCAAGTGTGGCGGTGAGTCGCATTGAGTCCGATCATTAATCAAAAACAAATGCGTTTTTCGTCTGTGATAATTAACCACATTAACTGATAAGTAATTATTTGCTTGTTCAATCCACCGAATACATTGATACACACAATACAGTATTATAATAATGTTTGCATCGATCGAAAGCCGCAAAATCATTGTTTCCAGTTAAGAGAAGTAGTTCAACCGGTGTACAACAAGCTGCTTCACATTCATTTTACAATAATTTATTTTTGGAGCGCAAAGACAATGTCACACGATAAAATATTGCATTCAATGATTCGATTCGCTGCTGTTTGCTTTTGGCTTTTGTGCTGGTGTCTTTACTGCCGTCGCTATTATTTTGTGTATAAAATAATGCACACGCGTACACCATAAAAGTTATTTAATTAAGAAGTCCATGGAAATTTATGGAACGCTCTATGATAATATTAATTAAAAAGTCTTGACGAAAAATGATTTTTTGTCTTTTTCATCGCTGAAAAACTGTCGTGTGGTTTTCATCCGTGTGGAAAAGGGATAAATGGAGAGGAAATAAGGATGCGGGGTAAGAAAGGGGGAAAGAGTGATGCTTAAAGTGTTTCTTAATTCGATAATAAATTGATGCGTGCTGTTTTGACAGCAGTAAAATTGATGAAGTTCTGCTGAAATGTTCGTCTATTTGATCCTTCATTTATAATGTTCATTTTAACTTGGTACACCTGCAATAATTAGGATCACATATATGCATTCATATCATGCTCGAAAATATGATGATTCTTATAAAATAACATGTCTCTTTTTGCAAAATTCTCCGAAAAGTAATCATCGCTGGATGAGTTTTAAGAAAGGATTCATATTTGAGTGAAATTGCTAGAAAAAAGTTTGGCGACGCCAACCAAACCCGACAGGAGACTTTAAAAAAAGCAATACCTAATTAATTAAAGTTCAACTTAATTTAATGAAAAGATTCTACACTAAAAACGTATAGCACAACGTAATTTTTGTTAAATCAGCATGAAACGTTTCAAAATAGCTTCCTACATTAGACTTGCAAAGGAAAAAGAATTTCCTAATGAATATAGTAAAAGTTTTTATTTTGTCCAAAGAAAAACACATTTTTCATCTGTTCTTTTTTTATTTCTTTCAAAAGAATTTTCAATAGTTGGTGAAATGTTTACTTTGTTTACTTCTTATCTTGTGCTGCTGTTGTTACTGGGGAAAGTAATATTTACAGTGGCTGGACTTCGATAATATTTTACACAGTATCCAACAAAACCCCTTATTATTCTGCGAAATAAAAATTGTGGATATTTTTTATATTATTTGAGAAAAAACGTACTGAAAAAGTGCCGACAACAACAAACAATACCCGACAAAAATGTTGTAAATATCTCATTATAAGTCGTAAATATTTGCTCAACCAACTTCAAACGAACGAAGAAAAAAAATGTACAAAAGATATTTTTCTTTCTGCTCAAAAGGTTTGATCGCTTAGACGCAAATGCAACTGGACAAAAATAGTGAGTGTCCATTTCTTTTATGTACCGCAATGAATGTTACAAGCATCTTTTTATTTATCTTTCGACTTCCGTTTATTTTGACCGAAAAAATATTGTAGCTTCAAGCACTTTTTAAAAGCAATAAATAAACAACGAGGATGTGAAAATATTTTCGAGTGTATTCTTTGTGTTGAACAAACAAAGTTTCAAGTGAGTTCAACGCACTCTCCCATTTCTTGAACGGCTATTATGTTATTTTACCATAAAACATATTTTGAATCAATAACAATCGTAAATGATGGTAGCTATTGTGCCGTTGAACATTGAGGACGTACAGTTAATATATTTTTTACAAGATAAAGTTATGCGCAATTTATTATGATTACATTGAATGTTGATTTAAGCATTTTGATGTAACAAATTAAAGAGAATAATCGAAAAATTCATGGCTCAGATATGTTAACGATGAAACGCATCCGATTGTCGGTTCGATCTATCTGTATGTCTGCTGGATGAACAACAAATTCCACGGTTATCGGTCAAAATAAAGTCGCAAAAGTAATACGTAATCGATTGGACAACGATATCCATGTGCCTCTGGGCATTCTTGTATTCGTAGAATAATGAATATATTCTATCATTTTATTCAGAGTAGTGACGAGTTCTACTTCCTTACTTTCTATTTATATCAATATTGTGGTAGTAAAATGACAAATTTATTCAAATTTTAATAAATGATTTCATTTGCTGGTATTATTGAATGTTACAATTATTGGGATGCAAGGTATATAGATTCTGGAAAAATACACTTGAAAAGACTCAAAGTAACTAAGCATCATTTTACAACTAAGATCAGAATTTATTTAAATGTAAGTGGGTCGTACTTTTTGATACCCTTCATTACAATATATTATAATATATAGATTATATCTATTTTATCTTTAATTGGTGACGTTGGAAATGACAGCCCTAAGTTCAACCGTAAAACTGTACATAATATTGACTTTGTGTTAAAATTTGTTCCATGCGTACATAACGTGACAAATATTTACATTTTCTGGATTCATAAAATTACGATATTTAGAAATTGACGTCAATCAAAACTAACGACACGTTTATTTTTCTATAATAAGTGAAGTAGTTTGACGTGAACAAGTAACGTTTGATATGATACACGTGGACTTTTACATTTTTTGTTTCTAAAAATTGTATAAGTACTGTCGCATCGCTATATATTTCCATTTTAACTTCTGTTCTGATACCTCGTTAACTGAAAAAATGAAGCAATTTTTATTTTTGACACTTTTCTCATTTTTGGCTTTTGATGGTGTAAGTATTGACGATTAAATATGTAAAAATTTCATATAAATTAAATTACAAGCTAATGGTCCAAAAAGATATCAAATTTATATTTTGTTTCATTTTACCTCATTTTTTACCATTAGGTTTTCATCAAAGAGGCTATGGGTCAAACTACTTATCAGCAAGTAATTGATACTTTTCAATTGAACTCTCACGCTGGAATTGATTGGCCATCCCGACTGGAACCTGTGTTCTCACTCGATACAGGCCTTGCATATATATATAATGCTATTTTAGATTCATTGACTAACTGCACTATGGATCAAGAGGTACTCGCGCTGCGCGATGCTGTGAAGAATGTACCAGAACTTACAGATTACCTTTCGAATAATGCCGAAAACGCATTCAATAATTGGAAACAAGAAGGACACAGTGTAAGAGCAGCAACTGAAAGTATTCTTAGTTCTCAGTTCTACATATTGACCAATTTTCAAAAGAAATGTGAAACTGCTTATTTGAGAGCTTTGAATAAAGTGCAATTAGAGGTGCCGAATTATTCACAAAAATACCAAAATATTAGGAAAAATCTTAGGGCAGCCAACAAAGCCTTGGATGACTTCATCAAACGCCGTGAAATGTGGGTAAATTTTTTAATGGGCTATGAATCGGCATTACAGTAATATAATATACTGTAATTTACAGATAATATATAATACTTTTCATAATCTTAGGGAAAAGTCCAAATATATTAAACATCTGAGGTACAGTCTCTAAAAAGTTAAAAAAGAATAAAGAAAGCGATTTATAAATTATATTTTTTATTAAAAAAAATGTACTTCCAACTCAAACCACAATAAATAATTGCATGAAATTGTAATTTTTAACAGCGTTTTTTTTTATTTCTGAAGTGTCGTGGTATTTATTTGAACAGCTTACCAGCTGGTTAGATTGAACAGTGGAGATTATTATGATAGAAGAGACATTTTTTTTGGTTTCTGTAAATTCGTAGTATTATTTACGTAATTTGTGTAAGTAAATACTGAAAAAAAACTCCTTTTTTCTGATAATAGTTCAAATTTCAATGCTTCAAAATGAAATAATTCTATTTTTTCTCTTTAAAATTCTCTGAAGCATGCATATCATTCTCTTTTCTGTTCTAACCAATTACAATCTTACATTGTACAATTAACGTTTTCTTATTCGTTTATGTCTTATAGTCCAAAAGAAGTAAATTATTTTATTTTCTTTAAATTTGCTATCCCAAATAGTCTGCCACACAACTGATAACGATAATTACAATTTTTATGAATTCGTATTACCTGCCAGAAATCGAGAGAAATCAGACATTAGGTTTGAGCTATGGATATAGCTGCTATTCATAGGCGCTATTTATCTCGTTTTAATGCATTTATGAATATTGTGCGTTATTTTCTACATCTCTCTCGTACTCACATTCAAATGTACAAGAGAATAGTAGGCTATGATATTCCTACTCGGGGTTACACAAAGCACACGAATTAAATAGCGCCTATGAATAGCACCTATAAAATAGGAGCCGCTATATGCATAGCTCGAGCCTAATGTCTGAGAGAAATCGTGAATTATCCAAAGAGAAATCGTGAAAAATGAGGCTTGAATTTCAGCACTTCTTTTATATAATAACTTTATATTATTAAATTTGCGTTAAAAAAAATTGTCATGCGTACATAACGGATTCATTATATTACGATATTTTAAAATTGACGTCAAAGAAGTAACGCTAGATATGATACACGTGGACTTTTTGTAAAAATTGAATAAATACTGTCGCATCACTACATATTTTTAGTAACATTTGAACGCTCTAGAATAAAAACAACTTATTGTTTGGTCGCATATCGAAACGCGACTCAAAACGACAATATTTTGTTAACAAAGGAATAAAGAACATTGACTTTTTATTACACAAAATATGTAAGTTTCGTTTTGTGTTGATAACTAGCTTCTGTTGGCGGGGCCCTATTATTTCTGTGGAAATAATTTCGGACGAATAAAAAATAATTTCTAGAAATTATTAATGTTTTCTATTATTATTTATTACAATTAATTTCTACCTAATTTTTGTGGAAATAATTCCTAGGACAACATTTTTTTAATATTTGATTCGGCGCGTTAATTTTGACATTTTATGTAGACTTACAAATGTCATTATCAAATCATGTAAAAACTGTTGACATAAAATGTGAACCTAACATAGCACAGAAACAATAAATCAAGTGAACGTCGAACTATAGTATATATAGTAATATTATTAATAAAAAAGCGATGAACTCAAGTACGGGAACGCTCATTCCACAAGAGGCAGCTCAGAAGAATGTGCAAAAAATTCATCAACAAGTATATACAACGAAAATTAAATTCAAACAATTTCAGTAGATCTAAATAAACTCCAAATAATATAATTATTGTTAGGTTCACGTGGAAACAATTGTTCCAATACGTTACACAAACGAAAACATCTTAATTTGTGAACGACTGTCGATTCGAAACAATTTGGATTCAATCTCGGCAGACATTGCAGATGATGTCTGATTTGAAAGGAACGCGAAACAACTATCGACGAACAAAATATATGCGATTTTTAAATGGAACAAATGGTATCGCGCGATAATAAAGATCGCAACGGCAGATAAAGTTCTACTCCATTTTCTTGATCATGATGGCGTGATAAACTTCCATCAAGGGTTGGTAATCCGCGAGATAAAAAACAAGGACTTGATTGATATGAAAGTTGGTCAAATAAAACTTTTCATTCATGCCATCGCTCAATTCAAACCTGGCCATTCTTTTGCGCACATTTTCGAAGAAGTTTTATTGAATAAACATGTAATGGGTGTCTTCTGTTTAATTGAGGAAAAAAAGAAACTTATTCACGAAAGTTATGCTGGAGACATTATTTACAATGTCAATGGAAAAATGTTCTCATTTCGAGAGATTTTGATTCGAGAAGAACTGTCTTTTCCAAAAAATGTAACTGGGGTTTTCAACCGTAATTTGTTTGAGAAGAATTCAATTTTTCTTCCAAAAGTGATATGGATGTGTCAGAATAAAAACTCAACTTCACATCTCACCTCCTGCTCGCACTTTTGGAAAGTCCTTCAGGGGGAGCAAGAGTTGAAATGCGAAGTTGAGTTTTTATTCTGACACATTCATATTAAATGTATTCTTAAACACTCAAAAGGGTGTATTGGGGGGTTTTTGGGTATGAGAAAACCGATCATGACGTTAGTTTTGCAAAACAAATAATTTTCGACACACTTTTCATACAAAAAATTCAAAAATTTTGGATTTTTGTATGAAAGCCATGCCTGTATGATATCGTTACTTACACAGGCTATTTTTTCACACAAAAATAACATTCCGAGGGTTTGAAGAATTTTCAATGCATAATAGGGGTCATGAGGTCAATCACAAAATTCAAGTGCATCTAGATTTTGATAAAATTTCACTAGAAAACTAGAAAATTCTAGTGCGTGAAGTTGGCTCTCAGTAGTTTTTGATATAAATTATATAGCCTTTGGTGTGAAGTTGGCTTCGTTTGTGACGTCATTCTTCGCACTAGATTTACTAGTTTTTCTAGTATTCACTTGCGTGATTCGCCCCATGATAGGGGTAAATCTCGAACAAAAATTTGGATTTTTTTGCTCAAAAACGAAAATTTTGTATGGAAGGTATCAGAGTATCATTATTTGCTGCTGCTCAGAGAACTGAGAGATGAATAATGCTGAACTCGTACGGCAAACGTATACGAAACGGATGCATGATACATATTCCCCTTTCGCTTCGTATGTGCTGCCGTTGACGCTATTGCCACTGCTGTTTCACTTACGCGTAAAATACAACGGCATCAATGGTGACTTTTTTTGTGGATTTTTTTTTGTAATGCTTCAATCAAATGGTTGATGACTTCTTATATATCACAATAAAACTGAATTGTCACCACAAATGCCCAATACTTTTCATGCTGCCACAATCATTTACAAAAACTCTTAGCCCTATACATTTGTTGAGACGTCAAAAAATTATTCGGACATTGACCAATTTATTTGAAATTACTTCAATATCGATTATACAATTTTTTGTTTGAAATATTTACCACTTTATCATACATCACGCATGCAAACACGTGTGTTATGACATACAGAGAAAAAGTTGACATATCATTCATTATGCTCTGATTAAAAATATCATTTCAACAGACTTTTCCATGATTAATTAGCTGACATACATATTTTAATTTCTCCTTAATTAAAATAATGTATGTGTATACTGTATATGGAAAAAACCGAATGACACACCTTGTCTACTAAACTGATTATACCATCGAAATGCATTTTTCATCTGCTTAATTCGATAATCATTTATTATAGCAAAGGAATGTTTCCATAAAAGACCACAAAAAGAGTTATTTATAAATACGAATTGTTCTTTCTTTTAAAATTTGATTCATTATTCGTGAAATCATCAATCAATTTTTTCATTGAAAAAATGCAACCAATAAAATTACAAACCCATATCACTATACGCCACTTACCAAGAATGCCATATATACCACAGAATAATTTTTGTAAATTGTTCATTTGGGACAAGAAAATTATTTTATATAACACACCATTATTTTACATTTTTTGGATTATTATATATATAATACCTTCTGTGTCGTAATTGGATTATACAGGAAATAGAATAAATGTATTCCTTTTCCACCTAGTTGCTAAAAAAAACTATGTATACAAAACACAAATAAAAAGGATTCAATTTTTGGCAATTCAAATTCATCTTTGCCATCTGAAAGAAATTCAACATTCAATTCGGCACTTTTACTTTTCCGCACACCTAATGTAACAGAAAGGAAAGGTATTGTATTAGGCCAAAAAAATTTGAAAAACCCTTTGGGGGGTATGTTGGGGGTAAAAAATAAAAAATTTCTATCGGAGCGAAATTTTGAATTATAAGAAAGTTCAAATTAGTTTCAGTAAGTTACCCGACTTTGCTTTATTTTAACCAAAAATAAATGCTCCAAATATAGAAAATTAGTATTAGTATTGATGCAACGATGAATTATATGAAGTTTTCCCTGATTTTCTAATCAATACATTGCCCAAACTTGCTTGACGCAAGTCTTGATAGGAAGTGCTCTAATATTTTCACTCATTTAAAAATTGATGAGAATAAAATGAAAGAACATTTTTTCGGAACATAAATTTCTTCCGAAGAAATCGACATCAAAATATAAAAAGTATTTAATTCGATCGGAATAACTGTGGGATGTTTCATTATAGATATAGTTTACACTTTATTTCGTTGAATGAATTTTGAAAATTTCCGCTGTAAACATATATAAAAATATGTACTTTTAAAGAGTTTGCTTGTGAAAACTTTTCGCAAAACAAAAGCTCCACTACCTTTATGTAAATAAATTAATAGGCTACAGAACGCGTGATAAACATAAAACCGGGAATTTTGTAACAAAACTTTTCTTTTGAATGGTGAAAAGTACGCTTATCAGCTTACTGTTCTCGTTGACAAGTAGTCAACATAAAACTTTTATGGCTTTGCATAGCAGAATTCTTTTCTTTGCAAGTAGTTTTCATCTTACGGCCTGTACTATATATTAGTTCAGAAGCGATAGAAAAAAGAATCATCGAGCACGAATTATAATTTTCTGTGAGTGTGTACAAGTATGCATGTATGTGTGTGAATGCATTCATTCTGCTAATTTTTGTTGCGTTTTTGGCTTTGTTTGGTTCGTTGTTTATAATTTCCGTCGAGTTGGGTGTTATGTAACGCATATTTCTTATGCCAGAAACTATTTAATTAGAGCAATGTTAATTCAGTTTCATTCTTCGTCTCTCTCTTTCTCTCGCTCCCGTTGCCAGGCTGCAAAGAGTGTGTAAAGCACCAAAAAATACGAAGAAAAACCGACTACAAAAACAAAACTACTATAAATCCAAACCAGTTTTTTTTATAAAGACATGAGACTTTATGGGATATAGTAATGCATAAAAGCGTGCCGAACAGATTGCAGCTTCTATGAAAAGAAATGAAAATTTAACAACTTTTGTATTTGCCAATTCAGCAATATGTGTACACACCGTTATTTTTTCCACTTATTTTATGCATGCAACACACTATATTCGTAATTCTGTGTGAGAAAGTTTGCAATTCCTGCGGAATTCATTGTGCGGTGTTGGTTGTTGCCGTATTTTTGTGTTTTATTCAATTCGAAAATGAGAAACGGGAAACAAAGAAAAAAAAAGCGATTCTTAAAACAATTTGTAATGTAAATGAAGTTTCTATCGAAAAAGCTGAAAAATGGAGCTACAACTAGTACAATATTGTGTACAGCGATAAACAAAACATTTGCATTTTACAGTGTGTACAGCGTTGCAAAATCGAGGGCAAAAACACGGTTAAAACATTTTAGAGAACATGATATATTCGTCAATTTGAAACGAAATTTGTAGCAAAATTTGAACCGCATTCGATGTACTATCTAATATAATCATGCCATACGAGTAAATGCTGCTTGCCTAACGCGAAAAAAAAATATATTGGTTCCAATATATATCGTATATTTAAGCTCGAACTAAATGAATATTTAATATTACAATCTACATAAATAAATGCGCTCATTTGCTTAACTGTAAGTTATCAATGGCATAAAGCATCATTTCTATCGCCACATTTGCACCTCGAAAATCATCGCTAATGGCATACAACAATAAATTCTCATAAATACACAACATCGTTTCGGCGTTAAAGTGAAGAGAGTCGGGATATACAGAGAATGATAGATTGAAAGAGAAAAAAATGATGTCGTCTTAAGTCTCGCGTTTGTCGCAATTATTCATCAGTCAAATGTGTTGTGTGTATTTTGGGTGGAAAATCAAACGTTCAATCGAATATGCCTATATTTACGAACCACTAAACTTGATAATATGATGTCTCACCGCAGTCATTCACCGTTATTATCCTTAATCGCACGTCACTATCTCCCTCTTTGTACGTAATACATACACAACACACCGTGTGCACATCGTTTATGTGTCACATTCTGTGCGTGACAAGTATACATCCATCAATTAGTTTTGTGGCTGTTTTGTCTCTCCGAAATAAAAGTCGACTCCTTGATTAGAGTGTGTGGCACAGAGTGGTAGAGATGCGATGTGCACATCAAAACCGATGATTATTTGTTACTTCAATTCACATTCGGAGAAACAGTAATTAGACAGATGACTGAATTGAAATGATAAAATTGATGCGTCGTGAATACGTTAAACAGATTATCGATTAATATCCATGCTATATTTTGCAAATGTTTGCCAATTCAATGCAAACATGGTTTTGATTAATCGAAACAGACATACAGACAGACAGACTATCTACACGTAATTCAATGCTAGTTGGATTTCTCATTTATAAACATATCAAATATCAAAATAAAAACTCTCATTGAGCTCGATTATCATAAGTGACAAATAGTTGTTGTTTTCAATCTGGCACAACCTACGACTTTAATTTGGGTAGAATAAAAGCCAATTGAAGTTCATTGCGAAAAAATCGCTTTGAATTTCAAATTAAATTTGAAAATTAGTTTCGATGCACAACCACATTTTGTCCTTGCTCCATTGATGAAACAGTTACAGATGCTTTTCATTTGTTTTACATCGATCGTCTGAATAAATTTATTGATATTAATATCAACATTTTAATTGAGTTGCATTAGTTTCGATTCGATGCTGGGATTGAAATAATATTACGAGAAAATATACATCATGAAATGTGCAGTTTCTGTTTCACCACAATTGAGCTGACATTGGAATGTCGGGGAAAAACTAATAAAATACAAATCAATGTAGTAGGTTTCAATGTGAAAAATGCACTTAAATTGTAAGCAAATAAACTTTGTTGCAGTTTACATTTTACAGGCGGAAAATTCAAAGCACTTTCATGTCAGCAAAAATCGACGAAAAATCTGTCCGACTTTATCTATATCGAAAAGTATGGTATATACATCTTCATGGTTAGTTGATCGTATTAGATGAAAATATGGTGACGTATTTGAGATTCCGTATGAATAATAATATATTTTCAGTAGTCACAGCAAAGGAATTTAATAATCAGAAAGTTCTATACATTTATGTTCTTGTGATGAAATTCAAACCACTTTTCAATTAGTTTAAGCATAGCACTGGATTTCTCTCTCTCTCTCTCTCTCTCTCTCTCTCTCACTCTCTCGTCGAATTCCATTGTGAATGAATTTAAAGCATACCTTAAAAAATCTCTGAAGATTTTCGAAAAGGATTGAATGTGCGCGAGATACAACCAATTGTTGTTCACTTAACGATGCCACAATAAAATAAAACTTGGTCTAGGTTTCAGTCTAAAAATACGATATTCAAGCACCAAATCGCCGGTGGAGTTGATGCTTTCTTCACGTGTACGTGTCCAAAATATCAATTGTTTCATACACATACACACACAACTCGGTAGAAAATGGGCATAAAAAACCGAAAGGAGAATTTCATATTTCCAACGAACTGTGTGGAACACATTTCCAGTGGTGATGCGTTCTCCAATTTAAGCGCTCAACGAATGTGTTTCCCCTTCGGCGTCACAGCATCGCTACACAAACTGATTCGCTGTATTGTTGTTCATATAGAATGCTCAGACTTTCGAATAGAAAACAACGTACAAATTGGATGTGTGAGCTGACGAAGGAAAATTGTAGCACACACAAAAAAAAAAACAGGAAAATAAAGAGCATAAGAGCTCGTGATATATGTGAAAAGTTAGACTACATGGCTTCATTTCGGCCAGTCGTGAATGCGACAGCGTACCATTCGCATCAATTTACCGTTTGCGCTCCACGAAACATACATTCTGTGTTTTACTGTGTATATTTGTATAAGTCGAAAGTAACCAAAAAACAACCGAGAATCTATTCAAAATCGATCGTGTGTGGTGTAATTTATTTGTACGAGAAAAAAAAACGACAACATTCCTTTTTTGTTCAAACAAATTTCGTTACCCGTAAACTCGGGCGCATATATTTTTATAAAAATTGCAATTTATTTGAAACCAAATAGCGGTTAGGAATAATGAAAAATTGCGTTCATATTTTGTTTTTGTCAGAAAGTAAAAAAAAAAAAAAAGATAAATAAGTCATAATATTTTATTCAACGTTATATATAAAAGGCAATATTTTTCTTTCTGGCATACAATTTATGCAAAATATTTGCCGATTCAAAATAAATTTGACAACATTTGTGGGATGAATTACGCATAGCATAGTTTGATGTTCGATGGCTAACAGGCTTATGCCTATTGACATATGTGATTTTCAGTAGATGCTTCGATTTATTGCTTTGTCATGTGTGCGTGTGTGTGTTCAAGTGCGTTGTACCTGTTGCCACAACTAAAAATGAAATTACACTAGCTCCATCGAGCATATAAACACACGTAATGCGAGAGATTGTCTTTTATGCCAGCGAACCGAATCAAAATTGATGATACAAAGTGGCATTTAACGTAAGATGTGAAGAAGTTTTGCTTTGAATACAAATACAAATGCAAGCATACACATACCGAAATAATCAGTAGATTGTTTCCTCTATATTTACCTGAATGTTTGGATACAAGCTTCAACTTCGACATTGACTTGATCGGGCCACACAATTCGGGAAATTAAAACGAAACTTTATATGAGATAGTGGATTGAATATCGATAAATGCGTACCAACTATAGACGAATTAGCTGAATTCATTGAGCACTTTGCCAATTAAGTGATGTGATTACGGATATCTTAACAGAACACGTTTTCCTATGATGCTCTCTTACATTATCATCATCATCGTACACAAACTGGTGAATTTGAAGATATCCGTATGTCGATGATGTCGAGAGGGAGACAGAGAAAGAGAGAGAGATAGTCGATTGATTTCAATTTGTTCAAGTGCTTTGATTGAACCCGCAAGCTACTTAATTGCTGCATAGGTTCACTGTGATTGACAGGTGCACAAGGAATCAACTCATGTTCAAAAACATCCGTATCTATGTTATTGGAAGCCTAAAGGAACTAAAGGTGAATATTAACTATAGCGAGTATTCAATTGAAATTTCTTTTATTTTCACTTCAATTGACACGAAAAGGAATACGTACCGTAACCACGTCAAATGTTGCCTTTATATTGCGCACATTGTAAGCCAAAGTGGTAGACTTTGAATTGGTTTTCATCAAAAATCTACACTTAACGAATCTCTATTTAAATAGTTTTACATTAAACGCTGAATGCATTTCGATCTCATCAGCTATAATGTTATAAACGAGTTTTTGTTCGAGAAATTGTGTTGACAATATTAGAGTTGTCGAGAAATGTTATGTTCTTGTGCCAACGACTATCGTCTCCCTTTTGTACACTGACAATGTACATAAATATTTAATGCTTACACGATACAATATGTGTCTCTTTTGAATGTCATTCAGCTCTTTATGTTTAAAAGGACACTTTGTTACTTTATCCTGTAACATCATTTTTAAAAAAAATATTTTCAATTAATTATATAAATCGAATAAATAATATTTTCATCAAAATCAATTAAAATTCCATCAACAATATTTGTCCTATTTGGAATTATATGGTAGTTTTATCTTCATTTTTTTATGAATTGAACCGACTAACTATAATTAGAATAACTTCAAAAAAAATCAATAAAGAACTCTCGCTTTGATATTTTCCAACTTAAATTTCATATCGAATTATTCTCAAGCATTTTCGGTTATCGATTCGTGTTTGTTTTAATACAAAATCTGTTCACATGGAGAATTTTATCGATTTGTTTGAGATAGGTTTGAATATCTTTCATTACCTGTCATTTTAAGTGACTCATTGAATAATATTGTTGAGCGTAAGAAATAATTTTTACTTAAACATCCACAATGACCCATTAGCCTTGGAAAATGCAATGGAAATGGCCAAAGATAACAAATCATCGCTGAAAATGATTTATTTTTGTCCGTGACATTTTAAGCTAAGTTCGTTTTGCATTCGTCGATGTGACACCACCTGGAGTCCGTGTAATACAGTATACTTGCCTTATCTACTTCGTCTCGACTTTTGACAGACTGACATTGTAAAAAAAAACGAAAAAGACGAAGAAAAAAAATAAGAACGAAAGAGAAAAAAACCTCGCCGACTGAATACAATTACAAGCGATCACATTTCGATGCAAATCATCATTTACTCGCGTTTGTGTTTTTGCATCGTTACGTGATTAATGATACATACCACGTACCGTCTTGTGTACGGTGTGCACACAAGACAAGTGTGCCGTCGTTGTGATTGCTTTGCGTTTGCCATCAACAATGAAAAATGCAAAATATTTTAATGAAATATTTTCATTGTCTGCACATATTGGCTTCATTTTTCTCAATGGATTTTCGCAATAAGTCATTCTGACATTGAATCGCCAACAAAAAATAGCGACAAAGAAAAGCGCACATCATAAAATCACTTTACAGCCATTAATGACTGCCAATGTTACGCAAAACGGTTCATATGAAATAAGAACGCATATTTAGTTTTAATTGAATGCAATTGAGTTTCTTTTTACGTGTATAATAGATTTTATAGCTTTCAATCATATTATTAAAATATTTGCATCATTATATACAGATTGTTTTCCATTGTTATTGTGAGTAAGAGTCGAATAGCCCGTAATGATTTCGTGTGCGTCCGGAAATTATTTTCAATCATAAAAAAGTAAGTCTAATTGAACTGTGAAAAACGAATCAAAAACGGCGGAAAACACCATAAAAACCGAGAAAAAAGAAATTCCCGTAAAAAGTGTAATAAGTAATAATAAACTAAGTGAACAAAAAGCACTCACAGGGCCAATAAAAACAATGACAATGTCGAGTAAATTGTGTCGTTGTTGTTGTTGCCATCGTCATTGGTTGTGTGTGTAAAATCACTATTCGCCCCTGATAACCGTCATACACCGTCAGTGTGTGTACAAAGAAGAGTGTATTGTTAACGACGAGAGCGAGAGAAAAAAATACGCATATGAACTTGGGAGTGTTGGACATATGTCGTGGTGACCAATTGCTTTTACAACGATTGTTCGGCGAATGTTTGCATTGAACGTGTGGCTGCGATCATTAAACAATATTGTTTCCGTGCAACGATAAAATATACAAACAGCAAAAGCTTCTCGGCGCGTGCAAATACAGCGAAGAGAAGAGCAAAAAAAAAAACACCACCCAACTAACAAGCGAATCAACCAAAACTCAAATTGAATTGTGAACTCGGATGTACTGGTTGACGGTACTGGACAAATTTCCATTGCATGGCATAGTGCGCCAATTACTTGCCGTGTACTCACATATATGTCTGTGTATTTATACACGAGCTCAGTATTTCTGACCATTTAGATGTGATACCAATCTTTACGCAGCAAAAAAAAAACGAATTTGAAGTCGATGTGTGTGCTGGTGTTTTTTATTCGCTTGGTTTTTCTGTCCGTTTGCTCGTTCTCGTAACTCGTTACGGTCAACAATTTATTTGCCACTGAAGACACCACAAAATAATTAACGTGAACACACACGGGGTGCACAGACAACGTGTGAAAAACCAATGATAGAAAACAATAATAATTTGTGTTGAATGTTCAGAAGTTGTGTGTGCGTCGTATATCAAAGTTTTATATGAAGAAAGTAATGCTGCAAGCCAATTAAAGCAACGAGTTGTGACTTGTCCGGAACAAAGTTCACTGGGTAAACGACGAAATCAGACGATAGTCACGCATTTATACAAACACATCGGAATAAGTCCAATTAAATTTTGTTGGTTATTTTTGGTTGGTTTTTTCTTCTTCTTTTATATCCGAAGAACATCTAATTACAGTGAAAGCAAATATAAATATGAAATACAAAATAAATAACGAAAAACTGAAAATAAGTGTGAAAATATGATGTGTGGTAGTGAAACGACGATAGCAACGTCATCGACAATAATAATACCAAACGAATGCAGCGATAATAATTATATGAGACATAGAAATTTTGTGCAAAATCACAACAACAACATTAAATCATTTGGTGTGAACGAATTGAATTGGCGGAAAAAATTATCATCATCCAATTACCAACATCATCAGCATCATCATCGTTGTCATCAACATTACCACATCGATAAGCATCAGGCGTTGTTGAGGGCACACGCTTGTCGTCACGCATCATACACCACATCGACTAATTGGATAAATATCCATCGGGTCAAAGCGATACGTGCTAATCGGCATTTGCAGCCGATTCATCTAACACATTTTGATAGAGAGCGCACGCTAACAAATCTTAATGTACATTTCGAATGGAATAGCCGTATTTATTTTAGTATTTCATCTAAAATTTATTCAAGGTAAGTGACGAAATTGCGGTGATTCACCGCATGCAATTCAATTTTTTGTTAATTTTCATCATTTATATATACGTACACGTTCAGTCAATTTGAGCATTGAGCTTGAGCGTACTAGCATATAAACGTTCAAAATCAATTAGTTGAGTGAGTCAAATTGTTTTTGTCAGCAAGCTACTACTATTACAATATTGCCTGAAGCGATTCGATTGCAGTACCACTTTCAACTTATAACTTAAGACACTGTCTGAGGTAATCGATTCTTATTAAGAGTGTTGCTGCTACTGGTACTTTTGGTGCTGCACTGTTGACAACTTTGAAATACAGTCATGATTTTCAATTTAATTTTTCCCTCGTGCGTTTTAAACTAACCTGCATTGTTTGCTCGGTGTCGTTGTACTTCGATGCGCTCTCACACTCTTACAATTTCGTCGTCTGCATCCGAACTTTTTGACGTCGAAAAGTTTTTTCAACCTGTTTTTTTGCTGTATTTGTTCATGTTTTGAGTTTCGTCATACCCGTTTTCTAAATGTATGCACTGATGGCGAGAGCTGAATCTATCCAAAAAGATTTCGTTCAAACAGACGTCTTTGCGAAAAACTTTTAAAAAGTGAACTCACAAAACTTTTGTTTCTACCAGTGCTATACACGACTTTTCTCCCGTCCAATCAATCTCAAACTATAAAATATCGTGTGCGTTATCGTATTGTTCATTGACTCGGGTACTGGATAGTTAAGTTTTAAATTTGGTTTACTTTTCAGCAAAACGTTTTCCTACTTTTCGGTCGAATGGAGGAGGAGAAAATGTTTTTGTTGATCTTTGTACGCGCATACACACACAAAAACATACCAATTGCTTCCAGTCGGTTTGTGTCATTTCATCGAAACTACAACAAGATAGGCACTGTAGATGCGAATGTCAAGTTTGGTTACGTTTTTTTCCTCTTATATTTAACGGAAAATAATGCAGATAAATTGTTGCTATTGTTTGTTTGTTCCGGTTAAATAGTTTAGAAACATGTGTTTGGCCATCTGTAGCAACATCAGATCTCTTGCTCTTTTTTTCATGTTTCTCTTTCTCGCCTTATCTCTTTTTCTTTCTCATTCGTTCACAATCTCAATATGAACAGTAAGTTGTTGGTACAGAGAGAAAAAGACATTTGAAGATAGAGAGTGGATGTCTTCTACGAATGGAAAACTTTGCTGTTTTGAAAATTTCAAGTTTTTCCGATCGAAAAAGCAGTGCGCGTACGTGATTTGAATTTAATTTATGCACTGGAGACACAAAACTTGTTCACATTTCGTCTCGTTTTTTTTATTCGTTCGGTCGTTTTGATATTCGTTGGAATTAATATGCACTACATCAAGAACTGGCCAACAATTTGTTCGAACACACAAATCTACGAAATGACAACGAACAATGAAAAAGTGCAGGCCATTTACATTTTTTTCACTCCGCTTACGAAGCGCTGTTCGGAATTCAAACGACCAACCAAACTGAGAAAACTGAATATGGCCATTTTAAGCTTTGCTCATTCCTGACATTAAATGCGCTTATTTACATTGTGTGATAAAATTTACGAGCAGTTCTTCCTTGAAAAATAACAAAGTAACAACTTTTTTGTCCTCATTCTATCGTCTTTCAACGCGTACACAACCACTAAACTTGATCAGACTTCCTTTTTTTGTTCTGACTAAATAAATATTTATGTTTCTCGGAAAATCCGAACAACAATTCATGTTGAGAGTTTAAAGCAGCCGCCGAAATTGAGAAGCGAAATGAAAATCAGCAAAAATAAAAGAACAGGAAGCATAGACTGTTTTTAACGGATAATATTATGTGGAGCGTTCAAAGCGTCTTTGTCATTGGGATTATGGCATTTATGATTTTTGATGAATCCGGTAAATTGTTTGAAAAAGGTGTGTCTTTATATTGATATCAACGAATCGATATGAAGCGAAAAAACGGCAAACGAATATTCGATGAGTAAATATTTGATGTATCGATAAGATAAAGATTTCGTTAAACATTACAATTTGTTGATGAATGTCAATTGTGCTTGTTTGATTTCGGATTATAATACCGTTAAGAGTTAAAACTTGAAAACAAGTTCAAGTCAAAATGAGTTTTATCTTGAAATCTTAAAAAATTACGTGATGACTTTTTCTTAGATCTTCGGTTCGACCGACGAAAAAGACATATGCAACAAACAATTCATCATGGAAATTTGTTGCAATGTAAAACTTTTGCATTCATAAGACACAAACTTTTGTAAAACTAGCGGGAATGAATTTAATGTCGAATAAAATACCATCACAATTAAATTCAGCAACAAAACGAGTTGTTGAAGTACTTGTAGTTTTCTTGTTTAAAGCATTCCATTTTTTTCGCTTCTCTTCTTTCGAATGCGTTTAATGAAAAAACAACTGAAACCATTTCATAATTAATAAGAATGAATAAAGAAGCAGATGGTGAAGTCGTCTTTGTCTCAATGAAGTTGAATATAAAATGAATATAATTACAAAACGTTGCGAAATAATAACGTCACTTCATAGTCAACAAAAGATACCGACACACGATGCAGAACAAACATCCAACTTTTGCACCGAATACTTCGAGTTTCTTTGTTTCAGTTGCTTGTTTGTGCCTGAATGAACCAAAAGACGAGAATCGGAGAAGAAAAATGAAACCAAACAAAATAAACCCATCCGAATTCAACACACTTCTACGGTTAGTTTGCTTCATTTCATTAAAACACCATTTTACCCAAATGAATTCCAATTAAAATTTAATCTACTCAATTTACGAAGCAGAAATACTCCAAAAAAAGTGTGTCCGAAACAACGGAAAGCGACCAACGCATTCGTTCATTTTGCCAATGTTTTCGTTTTGTTCAAAGTGGCTGTGCATTAATTCAATTGCTGTGGCAAATGGATTTCTATTTTCCATGCTATTTCAAGTGGTTGTCACTGAATTTTGCACCCAAGTTTTTATTGATATGGTTTCCATTTTCGGTTGATGTTGGTTCTTCATTTCGTTTGTGGTTCTTGTGGATTCTTTCCACTTTCAATCAACTCGCATTGAACAACACTTTTTGGAAATTGTGTGTGAAAAATTTATAGCTTTTATATTGCATCATCCATTTGTGAAAATGAAAAAGAAATATAAACCGGAAAATTTGACCCATAGCATTAAATTCGATCGAGACTGTTAACATTTGACACATGGCAAAGTGTTTCTTCTTTTTTATAAAGTTTACGCCGGCCCAATGTAAATGCCGATTTTATTTATTCAGCAGACTGGAATTTGGTGTGGAAAAATAAAATTTCTCTTTGAAATCATGACGTTATAATTCTGTGTTTGTTGGCGAAATTATTGAATGTAATCACTAATATCGCCCGTACAAGCAAAAAAAACAGCACACCGCTTGAAATTTTGATGAGTGAAACCCGAAAAAACCAAAAGGACAAGACATAGAGAGCGCCAGAGAGAAAGAAAAGAGCATCTTTCAACACTTTACACCAATTTAGATAGAAAGAGTCTAGACTGTTGGTTATTCAATGTTTTGATTATGAATCAGCATAAATGATGGAAAATAAGACACAATCAAGTCACCGTGTGGCAAATAACAGACAAAAGGGTTGTCTTGGTCAAAAAATACGGTGCACCAACACCACCATCGCCACAACTATCTTTGTTTTGTTTCATTTTGTTGCAAGGAGCTTATGAAAAATTCATGAAATCAACACCAATTTTTTACTCTTTACATTGGACCGAAATCACCACGTACAGTGGCCAAAAACCACAGGCTATTTAGCAACTTTCAATCGTTTTCATATTTTCTCAAACGCTGTAATAGATGTGCGAACAATGTAAAGAGGCGTACATTCATATTTTATATTGCTGACGCATTTCGATTTCGAATACAATTTGTGCTTTTATGTTAATGCTTCATCACTTGCTTTTCATATTTATTTACACTTTTGATGGATTTTTCGCTTCATTTTGTATTTGCAGATATGTCAAAAGCAGCAGCTAACGCTACTGTAATTCCCGAGCATAATATGTCGCTGCATCCATATTTTAACTTTGATGTACAACGAAATGTCACAGCGAGGGTCGGTCAAACGGCATTTTTGCAATGCAAAGTAGAACAGCTCGGCGACAAATCGGTAAGTTTTCTTTCTCCTAAAATTTCATCTAGTTTTTTACCATTTCACACAGTATCCAGACCGCGCTTTTTTTGCTGTCTTTCGTTGTATATTTTTAGAATATTTGGTTATTGGCTTTAATAAAATATTAGCACTTTTTTGTGAAGCCAATGAAAACTGTCAAATATACTCTGTTTTTCATTCGATGAAATGTAAATTTTTGATCTATTTTGCGGCGATTTTTTTTTGTTGTTCTAATTCATTTTTCATTTCGCAATGTGCAAATATTCAGAAAGTTAATGAGAAATGTCATTTTTCCCAATTTCGAATGAATGATTTGAGTGGGTTTTTTCAATTTGGGATGAGAAGTGTGTGCATTTATTTGTCGATTCAAATGTTGAAGAACATAAGCTCGAATCTTTTCACTGAAAGTCACCATGTGTCGCAAAAATCAGACATTGCACTTCAAATGATTTACTTTTTTGTAATGTATTAAGAATTCTCTCTTTATCTTGACATAGCTTCTAGACTAGCATTAAATAATAACTTATTTATCAAAACTTTGTCGGTTTGAGCTTAAATATTTTGCATTATTTTTCCAAAAAAAGTCAAGTCTGCGGCCACTCAAAACTGCAGAGTGAGCTTTAATTACAAAAGAATACAAAAGCAATTAAATAAAGATTGAATAAATTCCATTTAATACATTTTACGAAAATAATACTCAAATTAGTTCAACTTCAGAGAACAGCTGTTTGTTATTGTTGTCGTTGTTGCTTTTTGGCAATGAATTGTGTTGTAAGAAACGAAAGAAGCTTACGCTCAATTGCTTGGTTTTGTATAAGTGCGAACATTTTTTGCACCGTCCCCAATTTATTCGACAAACCACATTGTTGACGAATGCACACAAAAAACAAATCAACAAAATTCAGAGACACAGAAGTGCAACGAAAAACTCTTCGATAGAAGTATTCAATTAGATCAATTACCAAAATAAATACTTGAGCGAATACGAACCTTTTTTAATAAGTTCTTTTCTACCATTCCATACGGACTCAAGAAAGATTGTTGATTGTTATCAATTTGAACCATTTTTATTTTGAATCATCATATACAACCCAAAATTGACCATAAATTGATATAATTTGGACATTTTTTCATAACATCAAGGTAGAGTTTACTAGCAGTACGCATAAAACATAATGACATAATTGTCTATTCATATACAAATGAATTTAATGTTTGCATTAATAATATTACAACTAGTTTTTACTGTATAATAAAGTATTCAACGGATGTCATTTGTTATTTGTATTTGGCCAATCTTATGTTGTTTGTCAAAAGAATTGGAGACATTCAATAGTCGTAAAGAATGGTAGTGCTGGATTTAAAACAGCCGTGCATCTGTATATGTATTGCCAAAGAAAATCAGTCTGTCATTTCCAATGATTGCGTTCGATTTTGCGAAATCAAGACGCTTTTACTGATTCTCAAGTGGCAAAAATATATCTGTTTGTGTCATAAACCCTAGAGTCTTTTAAATATAGATTCAACACAAAAACATATCATGTTATATGATGTGGAATCGTTTTTACCAATCGACACACAAACAATAACAAAATAATGTGTAGCCATGGAAAAGGCGGCAATCCGCCGAATTCGATTGCATACTTAAACCGAAAGAAAGAAAAGAGACCGAAGAAAAAAAAACCTAGGATTTTGAAATATTTACGATTTGCTTCGATGCTTTCTTAACTTAAGCTTCAAATATCGTATATTCACGTTCGGCGCCCAGAATTGATCTGCGGCAATATGAAAAGTAAGTATAAGTTCAAAAGAGCTATTGGGATTGTGCTTAATGTGCGGGTAGATTGTATGCATAAATCGGCTCATTCGCTTTTGCTTACTAAAGCATCATCTAGTTACATTACGGTATGCTGCTGCCATCACCATCGACCGTAACCAAGAGCCAAACCCATTAGCGATCCACCGTTCCACAACACTGTAATCCCCAAAAGGTTTTATCGATGTGCAACATAGGTTCACTTCCGTCGCAATGTATCGATTCCAAACACGGCATTCCCCCGCTCTCTCTCTCTCTCTCTCTCTCTTTTTCTCTATTTCTATCTTTCGCGCTCTCACCATAATATCGGTTTTAATGTACCGAGTATAATACACTTGCTCTCCATTACATTTTGCAGTGTTCATTGTAGCTTATTTATGCAGAACAGCCTAATTGATTTATTGAATGGGCATGTTCTTGGCCCATTCCGTATGATTGGATTGCATTTACATTTTATATCGGTCTCACTCCATTTCTCTTTTTCTCCGGTCAATACGCTGAGTCGGCAACAATCGAAAAACCACTGAATTGATAAGAATGCATCAATGGTACGATTGGTAACACGATTGACACTTTTATCTTTACATGATGACATTTTCACCGGTTTCCACTTTTACTGCTTCTTTCAAAAATTTCTTGGAATTTATTGTGAATTATGGTGATTTTCAGTACGTGATGATGATGTGGCTAATTGTTATGGGCTTTAAACTTTGATAATCATTGTGCTGGTTAAATTGCTTCGGTAGATTCTTACACAGCATCATGACAAACTAAACTTTATAAATGCCTATTGTACATCTCCGATAACGATACATCCACGGCATCTACTCGATATACACTTATCATGCAAATGTCATTATTCACAGAGTGAATGCCAAGGTATACAATACAATTGAATAAACGGCATATTCAACTAGAATACCTATAAAACGTATTTGGGATTCATTTGGCATAATGAACGGCGACTGAATTAACTTACTAACAACAAAAGGACAAAATGAACACGGAAATATTGAGATATTTATATGAGTGTACAGCAAAAGAACATAGAAAGAGAAAAAGACGACGCACATTAAAACGAACGATTATGTGACATGGAAGAAGTTAGATTTTATGGGCCGCAGGCATTTAGCGTGTAATAAAAGTGCTGCTATGGCACGGCGTGTAGTGTTTTGTCGTCATGTTTGAGAACAGTAGGAAAAAGGGTTGTCTCAAGATTATTAATAATCATTTCGTGTTTTATAGCAATTTTCGATTTCATCGATTTCTTTTACAAAGCGCTTTGTATATACACATACAGCACCATTTGAAAGTAATGCCAAAATTCCATTTTCTATTCATTACAAAGAAATTTCAGCAATAAAATGAACGTTTTCTATTTTTTTTTTTGTGATGTTTTCAGGTTTCCTTTATCCGGAAGCGAGATTTGCACATATTAACAGCTGGAGTTTTGACTTACACGTCGGACGAACGTTTCCAGGTAATTTTCTATATTCAAAATTTGTCAATTTACAATTTGCACAAAATAAAATATTTTTAAGAATAAAAAAAAATTCATTGAGCCAAAGTATTCGCTAGCACAAAGGGAACTACGGTATTGCGTTGATGAAAAAGAAACACAGGTTGAAATGCAAAGATAATGAAAAACGCAATACTGAACAACTTTGTTAATTCATTATACGAGTAAAAAAAACTAGAGGACCTTCTACGGTAGAATGCTTTTAAAGCAATTTATATTCGAAAAAATATGGTCCGCACTGTTGTAATATTCAATTGCAGCGCTGACCTGGAGATAAAGATTTGGAATTTAATGAATTACCTTCATTTTTATCGACCATAGACAATTTGATATTGCTTTTCATATACTTTCTCATTACTTTATAGCAGAAAACAGTGGTGCGTATACTTTTCATTCAATAAGCAATGAATAATTTTCAATCAAAACGATGGAAAAGTTTCATTTTTTTTAAATAAACTGATGTTTTTCCATGAAATAACGAAAAAAAATTGACGACATTTTTCTTAACATTTTTTTCTCTCTCTTCTCTGTCTATCATGTGCCATTTGCAAACATTGCTTCTCATGACAGCATTTTTCTCAAAGAAACTAGATGGATTTCTCTTTATTTGTCAGTTGTTTTAATTTTCGAAATGTTTTTCATGAATTCTATTTCGGTTGAAAGAAATAATAAAATGTAGACAAAAAAGACCGATTCCTTGTTGACCAAGTTCAACGTTTGCAAACTCAACATTTTTATTTTGTTCCTTAGTGGTTTTTCTGTTATTGTTGTTGTCATTTTACCCCTTTCGGCTTGCATTTCGTGCCTCGCAATTAATTTGCGTTGAGAACCGACAATTTGTTCAAACAATGACCATGTCCATTTTTGTTACACGGATTTTTCCATTTGAACACGCTCAAGTGCATATCGAAAAATGGGGTTATGGTTCATAGTTATGCATTCGTGCAAAGTGTTGTATTGTAAGTACCACAAAAAACGGACGCTGAGTGCATACTGTACAAGCAAACGCTCGAGAGAATATTTCGCTATCTCTCTGTGTTTCGGCTTCGGGGCAATCGTTTTCAACTTTATATATAGGTTTTTCTGAATTCATCGCATCTTTAAATTAAAAGCTCTTTATTTTAAATCTTCATCTCTTTCGTTTTGTGAACAACCTCCGCAATAATCCATTCCGTTTCGACCGGCTTGCACAGTATGGCATATTGGGCCGAATTTAAACGAGAAAAATATATACAACATATATTTCGTATCGCAACGTTAAAAATTCATTTTTAAACAGAGTGTACTGGCCCATGATGTACCAAGTTTTATGTAGAAATGGCCAGCAAACTACGAAGAATCGAAAAGTTTATCGAAAACTTTAAAAATTGGCAACACAGAGAACAAAAAAAAGAATTGAAGCTGAATGAAAACTAAAAGAATGAACAAGAAGACTTGTTGTAAAAACAATGACGCTTGTTGATATGCAATTTATCTAAGTGCGACGTGAAAATGTTGCTCGAATTGTCCGAATGGTTGCAGCACCAACTTCGAATTCAAAAATTGTATCGCAACCATTTACATAGAAAACTGATGTTCAGTGATCTAGTCTTACGGCTCTTTATTCAACGATTCTCTCCACTTTTATTTATTCTCATTCACTTGAATCGCATTGATAAATGTTTCAAGTACTATTTTATTTGGAGCGTGCAAAAAAATGCAAACAAACCGTATGAGATCTTTGGAGTCTGTATACTGTTTTATGTGTGAGAAAGAGAGACAGAAAATGAAAAAGTGGAAGCGTCGAGCAAAACTTCAAAATGAATGCGAAAAAAGAGAATCGAATGAGATCAATGTATAAAGTATTGCAATTGCGATTGCAGAAAGGAGGTTATATGAAAAGAGAAAAAAATATATAATCCGTTGAAGTATTTGCTTATTTCATTGAGTATCGTGTCGAAATTGACTGCATAATCACTATCGGCAACAAACAACAACGGCTAAACATACACATTTCTCATTCGTATTCGTCGTCGTCGTAGTCCCCTCATACCCCCCTCCCCCATCGTTTTTCAAATGATTCCTCTTCTTTTCAACAATTGAATACATGGTACACTTTTCAATACATCGATTCTAATTCGACAACTTAACAGTTTGATTTCTGCAGTTTAGACACAACACAAATGAATGGCAGAGCGATATTCATGCTCGCTGCAAAAAGAAGCATCTGGACAAATATCAAGAGCAAAAAGGAAATAAAATAAAAAATCGAGAAAGAGAGAAAATGGGAGGAGGCGGCTGACATGTTATACGGTAAAATATACAAGCTCATGAATGGATTCACCATTCGTTTTGTTGTCGTCATCACCGTCGTCTTTTTGGTCACATAAAATGAAATGAATTTCAATTCATGAACGCCAATATCGTTTAAACAATGGAGGGTATCCCATTTGAATTTCGTTGGCAATCGAAAAGTGCAGAGAGTATTATGTCATTGAAATGTGACTACACAGAGAAAAGAGAGTGCATACTGCGTGCTGCACATGCAAAAATATATGAATATGTGTGTTATCTTTGATTCGTATTCATTGTTTTTATCCACCCATGAAATTCGACTCACTCTACCTCGCTTTACCTCTATTTCTCTTGCATGCATTGAGCATCTGGCAAGTGATTGTTCATGGTGAAATTGTGAAACATTTTCTTTCCTCTGGCGCACTTTTATTACATAAATCGATCAAATGTGTCCAGTAGTTTTGTTCATTTTTCAACAGCAACAACTTTTGGTTCTCTTGATTTTCCTTTTTTTATTTTTTCGTTCTTCTATCCAATCGGTTCGGTATATTGTTTTTTTTGCTCTGTTTTCTTTCAATACAGGTAATTCGGACGGATCGTTCTGATCGATGGACATTGCAAATAAAATTTTCGCAGGCACGTGATAGTGGCATTTACGAGGTATGAGACTGTGTGATTCGCACATATCAAAAATGTTGTACATCCATTTTGGTTGTGTATAAAACGGTAAATTCAACATTTCTTCATTTTCAGTGCCAAGTGAATACTGAACCAAAAATGTCGATGGCGTTTCGACTGAATGTTGTGGGTGAGTATAGCCATAAAATTTCTTTTTTCGGCTTCCGTTCACTATGTTGTAGATATTTTATTTTTGATTTGTGCTTTAATTTTAATGGATGTGAAACGATTTTCACTAAATGCTTCGATAATCACACATTAAATGGAAGGCAATTATGTCAAAAACATTGCCGAATTCAATATCAGGAAACGCCAAAAAAATTTCACCGCACGAATTCGATGTGGCAGTGAATGGGTGAATTTCCTTTTTTTTCGGTTTAGACTTTTACATCGAAGTTGGTATATTGTTCGGTAATTTGTTATGCGACAAATGTCAATAACAATGCATATAACAATAACCAGTGGTTTGGTTACACGCAACTATTTAATGTTTCCATTTTTCGGATTCGCATTTCGATCTCGAATGCTTTCTTCGTGCCTTTTGTTGAAGTTTCAAGTTTGTGAGTGAAAGAAAGAGCACGCGCGCACTCACACATATACTCACAATACAAGAACATTCCTTTGGAAGTCGGAACAATGCAATTCAAGCCCGCAATATCCGCATTGTTGGAACGCGCAACATTTTTTTTTATATTTATTCGGAAGAAGTAATAAAGCTGAATGGGAGACTTTTGTTGTTGTTGGTGTTGTTGCTGCTACTATTGCTGCTAGTGATGCTTTCACGATATTCGCTAAATGATGATGAAATAAAATACAGCATACAATAAGGCGGAAAAGAGAGAAAATGTGTGTATGTGCGAGAATGTGGAAAGCAAACAAGGCGAGAGAACGCATTTGTTATTGTTACATTGTATGGAACAGCTATTAGGAACCAATTCAATGGTGTGTAAGAGCTGACAATACATTACGCGTGGCAATGGTAACAATTCAATATGGATCATCTGGCATTTGCTGAGCAAAGTTTCCGTTCATATGTTCAGCATACATCACATATAGTCCACGTTCCCGAAATGTTCGTATGGAACAGAGAAAAAATCCATTCACATTAACCGCGTGCACAGCACGGAACTCACGAAACAAGACAAAGAAGAGAATGTCGAGAGACGCGCAATTACAAATTTCGGTTCGCACTGGTGTGTAATGAGAGAGAGAGAGAGAGATTGAATGAGAGCGAAAGCTCTTGCATGAATATACTCTGATCATTTGTGCGTCCGTGGTATAAAAGAAAAAACGGTTGCGTAAATACGATGGCTGAACAAAGCAAACCGAAATGCCGATAAAAACCAGCCAAAGCAATTTCGAATAAATAAAATGTTATAAAAACAAACGAACGGAAAATAATGATTGCACACCACCACCGTCGCCGCTTCAATGCTCCCTATTCTTGAAATTGCGAATGGGTTGTAATGCTTCATGCGATCTCTCGATGATAGAAATTGATATGAGTCTGTTCTCTGTTACCACAAAGCACACGAAAGTGAGGAAAAAATCGCATGGCATTGGAAACGGTTAGCTTGAGAATGGAGCGAACGGAACGAGGCAAAATCCATTCGAGGAAATGGTTTATCATTTGAAATGCGCAACAAACCTACATGCTTACAGTGCTATTTCGTGGATCGGGAGGCAGCAAAATCTGTAAAGAGAACAACCAGAAACGAACGTACGAACAAGCTGTGTGTATATAATGGAAATGCACACAAGAAGAGAAAAAAGTACGCGCAACGGAATAAATGATATAATTTAACAAGGTTTGCGGAAAAACATACAACCCATAATCATTATAGCGCTCAACAATTTTCGCCGCAATATTGAGCAGTGAACAACAAAAGAATTGAACGCAAAATTGAAAATGCTTGCAACGCAATGACGTAAAACATCAAAATCGAATGTGGAGCAAACGATAAGTGGTTAAATCGACGCATCAAACGAAATACCGTGACCAGCGCGCTCAAATATGCTTCAATTTGTTTATCTCATTTTTAGCGAAAATCGCTCGCATCAAAAATGTAGAATCCGGTGCAAAAAAATAGAGAAATGAAATTCACGAGAACAGATTGGATAAACAAAGCGAAAACGGAAAAGAATACGAAGCAAGAGATGTAGAGAAAAACACAAATTGATTTAAATTCCTTTTTTTCGTTCCGATTTTTTCCGTACTCTTTCTTCGTTACAACCATCAACTAGAACTTTAATATCTGTACATATATCGGTTTACATTTCCGTTTTTTTGTTGTTGCCATTGCCACATTTTCATTTTCACTCTTGGAGATTCCGGATCATCGTCATTGGATTACTGCTATTGGTGTTACACAAAGCAATCTAATTCTAAAAAAAAATAAGAAGAAAGCGACGTTCGATAGAGGAGAAGAAAAAAAATAAATATTAGTACACATCAACGACCAGAGCATTGGCAATGGATGATGACAAAATCTCGGGCAAAATATTTCAGCCCCTGTATGGCGAAAATGCATACACGTTTTCTTTCGAACAAGCATAAAAAATTCAATGTAAAAATTCAAATGTTCGCTTCGATGCAAATAGTTTGGCGGAGTGTTTAGCGTGCGCGCATGCATGCAACAACAAAACAAGTGAAAAAATGTGAAAAATGAGAGAGAGAGAACAAATTTTTTTCGATACTCGAGAGTTCAACTTATTCGAAGTAAAAAGGCGGGCAAGCATAAGAGATTTACACGCATCGCATCTCATCGCATCTCATCACCACACATACTCAAATTGAATTTCTCAACACAATGCCATCAGCTCATAATCATCGAGCAAATTAAATTAAATTCTATTCTTGTTAACAGGAAAAAGCGTAAAACATTCAACGAGCAAAAGTGAACGAATGCAAGCAAGCAAGCGAGAGCTTGATGAGGAAAAATGCCTCAAAAACATGTACAAGAAAATGATTGCAAACATTTTTATCCGTCTCGCTATTGCGTTTACTTATTTCATGATCAAAATAAAAATGGATTAAAATCGGGGCAAATTGCATGTACTGAAATTAGAATATGGGATAAGGGTAACGATGAAAGACCAAAGCAAAAACAGCGAGAAAAAAAACTACACGACGAAGAAGAATCAGTAACGACAGAGGAAAAAGGAACATCGACCAACAATGAGGCACTCAGAAAAAGATGAAATGGCAATTAGTTTAATTAATTTTTTTTCTCGTATTTTTGTGCATTTATGTGCGCTGTGACTAATGAGCCGTTTTTCTTGAGACATTCAACTGTGTGAACACACATAACAATTCGAGCATGCCATCGCGACATAATGTCTGTTTTCTGTCGCCGACGTTTTTTCTATTATTATCGTCGTCATCGTCGCTACAGTCTATGCAAATTTCAATGGAAAATGTGTTGGCTCGCAGAAATTCGTCGGAATAAAACGCTAAATTGTATATATGTATTGTATGTAGACTATTGACCCCAAGAGACAAAACATGAATCGCCTCCAAACATTTTGTTAAAATAGCCAACTAGCGAATTAGACAAAAGCACCGGTTTAATTTTTTTTTTTTGTTTTCTGTTCGCCCTTTTTCACCGAGAATGCTGTAGACCATAGAATTTTTTGGGATGAAGAGCATTTTCAATGCATGGAAAACGAACAGCGGCTGATTCATGATTCCATTTAATGATTTCATAACAAATATTTTGTAATTTTCTCACAGAAGCGAAAGCAGTGATACCAGGACCAACTGATATATATGTAAAACAGGGTAGCGAAGTTGTACTGACATGCATTGTTAGCCAGGGTCCACACGAACTCGGTCAAATTTACTGGTTACGCGGTAAATAATCCATTTATATTCACTTTTCCTCTCTTTTTTTTCGCTTCCCTTTTCGTATGTTTTTATATTTCCTCTTTCATTCGCTGTAGATGTGTGCGTTTATCTTTCGTTTTGTAAATATTTAAAATGCAATCAAAATTTTAAACGAGATTTTATCATACCAACTAAATAATTCGGTCAAACCTTATCAGTCGCGTGTCAAATAGCATTTCCGGATATTTCTTGCATAAATCGCATTAACTAACTGTATGTGTGGGTTGGTATTTGATTTCAGGCAAACACATGATCGACACAAAAACCAGCTATCATTTAAATGACGTTTTCGAATATCCGGATCGTATAACCATTTCCACGGAATCGGCTGACGTTCTTCAGTCCAGGTAATAACTATTTCATTAAGTTTTCAGGATTTATGCGTTGTCGTGCAAACATATTAATGCAACAAAAATATGGGCTTGTTATTTATCAAAGCATATAGATAAGATAAAAGGATTTATATACAACAAACTACTAAATGTTTGAAAATAGACTGACCACATAACCCGATTTTCGGTGAACAAAATGTTTATTAAAGTAAAGTAAAAAATAAAGCCAAGGAAGATTTATGTTATAGAGAAAATACATGGAATTACAAATACCTTCAAAGAAAACCATTACTTTTCTATTCCTCAACTTTGATGGTATTCGAAACAATCCGACCAGAAAACATGTAAACTTTCAAAAACTTTTCGTTTAACTTTGAAACCCTCAAAAATCTCTTTCTCTCTCTCTCATTCCATTCCACTATTTTATTTGCTACATCGAGCGAAGTTCTAATTCTGTAGTGTGCCATTGTGGTCAGTCTATGTGTGTTAGTATGTTTTTCCTTTTGTTTTCATTACAAAGCCAGATGGAATACGTTTGTTTGCTGTAAAAATAGAATGTGTATGTTGGAATATCACAGTGTCGAACAAAAACTAGGTTGCAAACATTAGATCCACTAAATATTTTCACAATACTGCTTTTACTACTCGTTTGCGTTTTTTTCTCTTTTCATTTTCTGTTTTATTACAAAAATCTGACTCTGAATCGTTGCATTTTTTCCACATGTGTTTACTACTGCGTCGCTTGTTCTCGTTATCGGCTGGCGTGTGAAGATTAACAATATCTAAAGCCCGGTTAACTGATTCGAGTAATTATTCTTGTATGCCGACCAATGCAGAAGGCACCAGTGCGATCGTCCACGTTATAAATGGTGAGTGAACATGCGTTTTTTGTATTTTTCTCTCTTACCTTTTGTCCTGTTCTCCCGTCCATTTGATTTCATTCAAATGCAGTGTTATTATTGCTTTTATCATTTGTTTCATTTTGTTGTTGTTATTTTTGCGCGTATGCTGGCAAAACGGCCAAAATAGCATTCATACACTCTGAACAATTTTCCGTTGGACTTTTGGCTTTTAGTTTTCGTGTTGTATGCCGCGCGCACTTTTTTGCACTCAGTGGTGCGGTGATGCGTGTACATGTTTCATTAGTAACTCGTTTCAATTTTATTTTGAAAATCATAAAATTGCGCAGCATTTTTTTTTTCGAGTTTTGAGTGTTGGTTTTTTTTCTTCCATTTTGTTTATCTAATGGATGGGGTGTGGACATCATGTTTTAAAGCAATTTCATAGTTACTCGCTCAAAATCACGGCTGGTGTGAGTGAACAGGACCAAGATACACAAACAAAATGAAAAAAAAACAAGTCGATACATAAACAGAACATTTCTGCAAACAATCAAAATATATACACACCGAACAAAAGTTGCACGACACATAAAATTATGTGTGAGATGAACACGAGCGTGGAAATAAGAGAATAAGGGCAATAGGAGAAAAAGGCATCCACTGCATTGCAGCTAGTGTGTCTTGTCCGCGCAAAAGACTCCCATAATTTATTTTAGTTTTGTGATTTGTGCGAAAATGTCTTTTTATTTCCAGATAAATTTCATTTACAGTGTAGTTTGGTAGTTTTCACAGCGGTTTGATATGGCTGTCTAATTCTCTCACTTTTCTCCTATTGCTCTCTCTCTTTCTCTCCCTCTATTTCTCGTCCCCGTTGTCATCGTACATTTTCAGCTACAATAAAATCCATTTTTCTTTCCACATGCGTTCATTTTTAATTTGTACCATGTTATCTTTTGCTCTCGAAATGTATCATCCAAAATGAAACGAGCGAGAAAAAATGTTCACAATTCGGATTTGTTCCATTCGGTTTGTGTTTTCTCTGCCACTTTTTTCACTCATGCCACTCCACACACTATACGAATGATTTTGAAATGCATGGTTTTTTTAGACTGTAGTAATTACTAGATCACTGTGTCACTGCGGATTTCAAGCACTGGCTCATTCTTTCTCTATCTACTTTTCTTTTTTTAATTTTTTCTCTGCGTTATTTATGGTTGTTTTTCTATTTTTCACATGTTCTGCGTGTGTGCGCGCGCAACGGTGTGCGTTTTTTTAGGTGAACATCCGGCTGCTATGCAACGAGGATGCGCAAACAACAACATCAATTTATCTATTTTATTGTACATTTTATCACTATCACTTTTAATTCAATATTTGAACCGGATACTGAGTACATTTATAGTGTTACATGTGATTTCACCGCATCGAAACCCCAACATCAACGACGACACATCCGAAATTCACTTGGATTTCGTCCATATTCATGCTCTGATGCATTCAGCAAAAAGCCCAGCATTGAATTTAAGATAAAATAAATCCTCAGCACACCCACACATTCATTCACTCAAACACACATACATTTACTCTTTTTCTCGGATTTTGTGATTTAAAAAATAAAAATAATAAAAAGACAGCAAAAAAAAAAACAAAGAAACGGGAAAACGTTTTTATTAGGAATTTAAGCGAGTAATTGAAAAGGAATGATATGAAAAATAAAATAAATATGGCAAATGACATTTATACGAAAACAAACATCTATGTAAATAACTCGTTACACAGCGAACACACACACTTTCGCATTCACATAAATCATATCTCTCAAATCAATGTATGTTCATGAATAGTACAGCAAACAAACCCATAAAAAGCTCAACACATATACTTCGATAAGCACATATACACTATATTCGATGTGGATTTTGTGTTATGTCAATTTTGTAGTCGACAGAAGATGGTCGGGTTTCCTCTTCTCTTTTTTTTCTCGAATAAAAACCAGTAATGGAGAAGCACAATTTGTTTCGATCGCAAATCTGAATGATGAATTGATTCAGTTTTTTATTGACATGGCAATAAATTCAATTTCTGTATTGAAACCCATTCACAATTCCAATTGAATTTTAAATTGACTTGATTTGGGTTGGCCATGTACCAAGTGGGTCTCTTGTTTTTAACTTAAAAAGATGTTGGCTGGATTATTTTTTAATAGTTTTTGTTTGGTTTTAGTTTATTTACATATTATACTATTTTCCATTGAACCAATTAATTATATTATTGATGATGATGACAAATATATATTTAACGTAAGTTGTAACACATAGATATTTAATATAATTGAACGAATAATAAAAAAGATGAAGTTACAAGAATAGTCGAATGTAGTAGAAATTTAATGTGTTTTATTTCAACACTGACAATTGAATTGAATGACAGGAGAGTATCTATACTACTATGTTTCAGGTCGATTTGCATTCAAACAAATGTTCACAACGTAAGTATGCATTCAATCTCCATTTGGCCAAGTATATTTATTATTTATCAAGGGGTTATCCACCAAAATAGAAAACTAGAAAAACAGTAGAAAAAACTAGCACATAAAAGCCAACTTTACACTAATTTGGGTACAAATTGTACGTAAAACTACCAATAGAAACAACTTCACGCACTACAAAAACTAGTTTTGTGGTCATACCCTTGCAAGGCTTGCATAGTATATAAAATAAATTCGATTTAAAAGAGAGAAAGTCAAGTCAATAGAGGAAATGCATGATAATTCAGTCATACGTAAAATTTTACCATTGGCATTTAATATTCATATATCAAAATAGTAAAATGTATACAAAACTATGTTTGTCTTCCAAATGAAAGACCTAAAATGTGCATATAAATTGAATTTAATTGAATATGGAATGAAAAATGAACTCTATCGAACTAAAACATTTTGCAACATTTAGAATTCGATTTGCATCGACTTTGATTATTTTAAATTTGTTAACATAGAACGTTTTCGAATGGCTGATGTTTTAGATTGCACACAATTAATGCTCAAATATTGAAATAACATCAGAATGTCTCGGTCAAAAATAGAATTTTAATGGATTTTGAGTTGAAGTTTTATAAAACTTTGAAATATGTCATTGGTAAAGCATTAATTCGAAATTGCTTAAAACTTCTTCGTCTTCTACGTATTCTTCATAAAGTATTTTTTATAATATTAGAGAACTATAATTGAGTCGAAAGGTACCAAATGAAGCACTGAAACTTGCTTAACTTTAAAAGTACCAATAAAAACTAAAAGGTTTCGACATTGCAAAGATTTATTCTTTCGAAAATGACTTTCTCTAGTTGCAGTAAAATTACCTCAAAGAAGCGATAAAATTATTGCCTATTTTGAAAAAATAATAAATTCACATATAGATGCAACCGAACAAGAAAGGGCACAGAAATATTATGTTTTTTTTATCGCTTTTAAATTAAAGATAATTTAAAAAAATTGTTATTTTTCTCGCTCTTCAGTTTAAACAGTCTTTTAATAAACACGTTTAAAATGTTCAAATCGTCATAAATTAGATGCAAGTATGTGCTCTAATTGAATCGTCATTCTATTTGCACGAAAGCCTGAAATGTGCAATTTATGTGAAAATAACATAGAAAATGTATGATGTTGGCATTTCATCATGTTGAATGAACATCAATTTTCATTCTTTTTGCCATGCTTTCTGCAAAAAATACATTGTTGCTTATTCAATAACAGGCAAAACAAGTTGATTATGTCAATTTGAGTAAATTAATATAAGGAAAAAACTCAAATGTTTACAGTTAAAAATGAAAGAAAAAACTGTTTAGAAAAACTGAACGAGTTTGTATTTGTATGAGGGGCAATAATAAGGTAATTTTCATTGCAAACACACATACACACACAAACCGACTGAAAATTCAAATGAATTTTAAATGTATTTTCCGTGTGATTGGATTTGGCATGCTTTATAATGACTCAAATAAATGTTATCCAATGAAATGCGTCATGATTGCAAACACATACACCTATGTATACACAGCAAAAAAGAGAAACAAATGGGCCGAGAGAAAAAAAGTTGCAACAAATAAAAAATTCACATCACACGCTAATTATATACGCTACGAAAAAGAATGGAAAAAAGTTACAATTGTGTACATTGGCAATGGATTTTCTGGCTTGTTATATAACAATCCCCTGTACAAATGTACTGCAAAACGGCACGCGTCAGTGGAGCCAGATTCTCTCTTCCGAAAGCAAATGATATGAATAACGATCGAGTGGGAAAAAAACGCATTTCGAATGGAAACGGTTTTTTTGTACTTGGACGAAGAAGAGCGTGAAGAGGACGAAGGCGAATTCATTGTGTGGGCTGTGATGAATGTCAATTATTAAGGAAAAGACAATTAAGTTCTTTTGTCTTATTTTATTTCGGCTTGATTTGAAGATTATCTGGATCTTTGCTGTTGCCCTCAAAACACACGGACGAACGGCCGATGTGCAAATAACGGTTTAATCGACACGAATGAAGGATGTAAAATAATGGTGTGTGGCAAAAAAGCGAGAAACATTAAAGCAACAGCGCCCAACAAACTCAGAGGAGAAAAAAAACTTGAATACATTACACTTAGATAATAAATAAATGATTCTATTAGAATTTGGAAGATTAATGGTCCTTTTCAGAATTAATACGTGAAAATGTTTTATTTTCATTTGACGTTTGCAACACCGAACCGCGTTTTAATAATCAAATGAAACTAGATGATGTGCAACAGCACAAAGTATGGCCATGAACTGTGTCACCATCTAAAAAGTTTCTATCTCTCTGTTTGCAGGCATGCTTGCTGTGAAATTTCTCCAATATTAATCATCTTGCTCCGTGTGTTACAGCATTAAACTACCGCGAAAGCGTCGCAAAACTGGGCACAAAATAGCTCCGTATTTCAAAATTTTACATCAGTTTGAATATATAAATGTTGTGCTTGTGCGGCAGTTGTTGCTTTTTTCATTTCAGCGGTGAACCACACTCACACACATTTCTCACACATGTGCTGTATAACTTTAATAATGAATGTACATACAATGATTCACGACGAACAAAATTCATGGATATGACTTAATTTCAAAAAATTGTTTCCACTAATAATTATATGCATCCAAAAATGGTGTTCCCATGTCGGCATGAATAATTTAATTAATTAATTAAGCATTAATTGTGATTTGATTTATCATTTATTTTTGCTCTTTTCTCTGAATGGGAATGAAATGCACATTGCAATGGTATTAAAACTGGGGTAAATTGGGTCTAAAATAAAAGCAACTCGGCACACAGAGAGAAAGAGAGAAAAAATGTGCCACGCGAAACTCTTAATGAGATAATTTGACTTTTGATTTTGTCCTCCCATTCATCAAACAATACATTTTTGTGCAAACACTTCAGTTTTATAATGAGAAAATGGAATAATTAATTTCCGTAGTTTTGTGTGACAGATATGCCACTCAAACCGTTGAACGAGTGACTTTGATCTGGCTCATTAAAGTTTAAAAAAACCGAAGAAATAAACGTTGCATACGAAATAAGTCTTAATATGAAAAGTTGACCTGATCCTCTTCTACAATTATCGCTAAACTTGGAATCGAAGGGAAAAAAGTTTTTGTCAAACATTGCCATTCTTCGTCTTCTGGGAAGCACGAATTTTCCACATACACATACAAACGAATGTAATAAGCCAAAATGAATGTCATAATAAATGAATGGAGTTTTTTTTTCCATTTCGAAAATTCGTGCCGCGAATCCAAATTACCTCACATACAGTGACATACCGTTGAAGAAGAAAAAACGAGAAGAGAAAAAATCAAACAATATTCATAAATTTAATGACGAAACTTCCTCTTTATTTAATGAGACTGTAAATGGGGCGAAAATATTTATCATCATCATGATGTGTTTTCAAAAGATTTTATCCATCCTGCAGATTTCCATTTTGTTAAAAAGATACTTTTTTTTGTTTGCGCTTTTTTCCCCACATTTTTCAATTATGTAATCAAAAAACAACAAAATATACTTTATTTGAACGAAATCCGGACACGGTGAGTGGATGCCTCATACAACGATGATGGACAATGTATTGATATATATTTTATGCACTCTTATCAATTCCTTTTTTTACTCTTTCCATTCAACGTTTCATTATATGTCTGTATGTTGATTTTATTTGACTGGACTGGGAGGACATAAGTGTGTACATGTATTGGTTGGAGTTTTTGATTCCTGCCAGGGACAATTGAACAACAACAACAAAAAAACGTTAGAAACCTTTTTTGCTCTGTCCACTTTCACATTTTATTGCCATTCAATCACAAACATTTACAACAAATCAAATGTTGAAAACTTAATGTGCACTTGAGTTGAAGTGTATTAACTCGTTGGGTTTTCAAGTAGCAATGGTTCGATTCAGAATATCGATGCATGCACTAGATGAAGAAACTGAAAATACGTTTCGTGCACTTTTATGCTGCATCGTGGTTTGATACACTATATCCTCTTTACTCTGTATGCATACGATGGATGCAATCAAGGCACCATTGGGATTTCTTGAAGCATAAATCAAGTATTCCCATTGATACACATAACCATTGTATATAAATGAGTTCAGTTGTCACGAGCTTTAACCGATTGGAGAGTTGAACAACTCTACAAGCAAACTAGCTTTTAATTACACTCCACCATACATATCAAATCAATGATAGTTGATTTACTTCATAATATGTAGTAAATTTACTTGATTCATGGGATTTACCAATAGAAAAATCATATTCTGAACTAAATGCGGAACGCATATTATTTTTTTTTGCAACCTTAAACATTTGACTTCTATAAGGATTAAGGAATGTCTTAGTGAAATTGAAATAAAAACTCGAGATAACACATATGAATGCACGCAGCGTGCGGTACGCTTTTTCGCCAATTTCAGAAGATGTCAAACAGCAAAAGGACATGTTGATTTCGGTGAAAAGAATATTAGAAAAATGACATGCGAGATGTAATATTAATATGGAAGATGGAATAGTTGTGAGTTAAATAAATGTAATCCAATTTTGTATTTAAAGAAAATATGTGGCAGTGTACTCATAAAAATGTAAGTAAAATCACGATGTTAACATGAAAATTCGCTTCCTAATAAGCTTTTCTCATGTGAAAAGGTAAGTTTTTCTGTCAAAAAATAAATTTGAGTAGGAAACACATTCTAAAAGAGAGAGAAAAAT